TGTTTTAAAATTAGCAACGGAGGGCTGGGGATTTAGCTCAGCTGCATAAGCACCTGCCTTGCAAGCAGGTGATCATGTTTGATTCCTGGCACCGGTAAAAATGAAAAAGACAAAAAAAAAAAAAAATTAGCAACGGAGGATTCTACACTATTTTAACTTGTGGGGCCGTGAAGGCTGGTGTCTTGCATTATTACAACACATCTCAATTCACCCGTCCTGCACACAGGGCTCAGCAGCCTTCTGCAGCTGTGACTGTGTAGTCCTCCTTTCTCATCTTCTCACATTGGGACACACAGATGCACACACAGGCACCGACACGTGCGCACACACGCATGCGCAGGCAAAATGTTCCCCTTATAAGAGGTTTACAAGGACCTGAGCCCCAAGCAGACATGTGACAGATCTGCACACAGCACTTTCCCTGGTTCCTTCCCTTTCGCTCTCCCTGCAGACAGCCGCCCCGCACCTCCACAAGCCCCCCGCCCCCACCCTCTTCCCACCAGCACCTTCCCCACCCCGAGGGAGGGCAGCTGTAGTCGCTGCGAATTCCCACCCAGAACCCAAAGGCAACAAGATTCGGGGTCCAGGACCCTGGGTGGGGCGCTGCCCAGGGCATAGGGCAGGACCCCACTGACGACGCGGCTTGGGTCCCATGGTCCCCACTAGGAAAGAGAGGCGAGGACGGGATCTGCAGGCGACTCTGCCCCGGGACTTGACTATGGGCGAGTCTGGGGGGTTCAGAGGGGCGGGACGCAGGAGGCTGCGCGGCGCCCACCGACACCCACCAAGCGCGCCCCGCACCTCGCGCCGCGCCCTGGCTCCCCCTCGCGGTGCCGCAGTCCTCGCGTGCCGCCCGCGGCCCCGCCTCCGTGACGTGACGTAAGCCGGGCGGGGCCCAGCTATAGCTATATAATGGCGAAGCTGGGGGGCCGGAGGCTGTGTCTGCGCCGCAAGTCCTCTGGTCCACGACGCGCGCAACACTCCAGGCCCAGCGCCTTCCCCGCTCCCACCGGCACCATGCGCGAGATAGTGCACATCCAGGCAGGCCAGTGCGGCAACCAGATTGGCGCCAAGGTGGGCGAGCCTTCTAGAGGACCTGGGGAGAGTTGGGGAGCCCTAGGGTGCGGGCCGGGGTCGGGGTGGGGTCGGCGCCCGGGGAGGGAGCAGTGGCCACGGGCGCGGTCCAGGACCTGCCGCGGGGCGGGCAAAGCGGCTGCGTCCTGGTCAAGGCCCCGGTTGCGCTTGGAAAGCAGCACTCCTGGTATGCACCTGCCTCCCTGGCGCGGCGGTCTCCAGAATTCGAATGGTGTGTATCCGTGGCCTCTCCGAAGTGCAGTTTGGGTATTTTTGCCTGCCCTTTGAATGGAAAACTGCAGTGTCATTACGCTGGCAGATGCTATAGCGGCTCCTCCGAGGCTGGGAGCTTAGGGAAATGCTTTTTTGCTTGGGCACCGTCTAGACAGGATGACACAGAACGCGACCGTTCCCTTCCTGGCTGCTAGGCGCAGGTGGCGGCGGTGGTGGCAGTGACTCCCGGCCGCAGTGGGAGGTGGCGGCGGGCACAGCGCGGGCGTGGGCGGGTGCCTGGCAAGGACGCGGTCTCTTTCCAAGCGCCATGTTGCCCACCAACCTCCGCCCCCCTCTCTGCCGCATCCGCACAATGGAGCACACGACCCCGCCAGCGCCAGCCCCTGCCCCTGCCGCCCTTCTGGCCTTCCTTGCCCATGTCTGGCCAAGGTCAGTGTCCCGAGACTGGGATGTGGGTCACTAGCAGAAATCTGCATGAGGTCTGTGCCAGTAGCTGTCAGTGCGGGGCCAACAGATCTGCCCTATGGGACCACCCAGCGGTCTGGATGTTACCATGCTCCGCCCTGCAGAGTGACAGAGCCCCCTGCGCCCACGGCTTCCTGGAGGGGCTCTGCCTGCCCACCTCACTTCCTGGGCTCCCCCTACCCCCAGCTCTTCAGTCTGCAGACGCCCAGCCCCTCCACAGCAGCTGCTGCAGATCCAGGGGCCAGCAGCTCTCGGCTCCTGGCCAGGACTCTTTGCTGCCTGACCACGGCCATCCTTCTGAGGGGAGGACACCAGGCTAGGATTCGACTCTTTTTCCCTGCAGTTCTGGGAGGTGATCAGTGATGAGCATGGCATTGACCCCACTGGCAGTTATCATGGAGACAGCGACCTGCAGCTGGAGAGAATCAACGTGTACTACAACGAGGCTGCTGGTGAGTATCTGGTGTCACCTTGCTCTCCTTGCTGGGGCACAGGAAGTGACAGAGAAGCTTCTTGCCTATTCACTGCACAGGCAGACTGCAAGCAAATACACTTAATGGTCTCTGCAGACTCCTGCTGCTGGACGTGACTGCTCCTGCCCAGCCTCTCCATTCTCCTCCCCGGGTCTCAGTGGCTGGAGCTTTCGGTCATGAGTTCTGTGCTGTCAGCCAAACAGAACAGGGCTCTTGCCCAAGCATAGGTCTGAGGCAGCTGTTGTTCCCACAGGTAACAAATATGTACCTCGGGCCATCCTGGTGGATCTGGAGCCGGGCACGATGGACTCAGTGAGGTCGGGACCATTTGGCCAGATCTTCAGGCCAGACAACTTTGTATTTGGTATGTCGTCCTGGGCCAAGGCTGGCCAGCTCACTCGCCTTGCTACCAGCCTTGCACATCACAGTTCTCAGCATCCAGTCTAGGGGTGGCGCTATCTAGTGAGTCCTGGCTGGCCAGAATCACATGCTCTTGGGGCCATGTCCCTGGTCTGGGCAGGCTGGAGCTGGTGTCAGCCTGCAGAGGCTGCTGCAGGGCAAGATGAGGAGCAGGGCGCCTCTCACAGGCTCGCTAGGTCCAGGGGATTTCAGAGGAGCAGATAAGACAGGAGACCACTTCAAGGTGCCTGAGGCCAAGGGCACAGCTTATGACACATGCTTGGGCAGGGCTGAGAGCCTGTCCTCTTTGGTGGGGCTGAGCCTCCCCCAATCTGCTTGATTGCACTAATTAGAGCGTCCACAGAATGCTCTGATCCTCATTTTAGAAGCAGCGGGCTTGTTAAGCATAATGTGTTACAGCTGGCTTTTTTTTTTTTTTTTGTCTTTTTCCTTTTTATCAGTACCGGGGATCGAGCCCACTACTGCCTGCTTGCAAGGCAGGCGCTTATGCAGCTGAGCTAAATCCCCAGCCCCGACAGCTGGCTTTTATACATGGTAGTATCTCTAACGGTCTTGTGGCTCATTGATAAAGCAAACTTTTTCTTAGGTAGCCAAAGCATATCTAAAAGACTATCTAAAAGGTTATCTAAGGCTGGGCCAATCTTCCACAGTCTAAATGACAGAATAAAAAATTCCCTTTACCTCACAGGCCAGAGCGGTGCCGGAAACAACTGGGCCAAGGGCCACTACACAGAGGGCGCCGAACTGGTAGACTCAGTCCTCGACGTGGTGAGGAAGGAGTCAGAGAGCTGTGACTGTCTCCAGGGCTTCCAGCTCACCCACTCGCTGGGGGGCGGCACCGGCTCGGGCATGGGCACCCTGCTCATCAGCAAGATCCGAGAGGAGTACCCCGACCGCATCATGAACACCTTCAGCGTCATGCCCTCGCCCAAGGTGTCAGACACTGTGGTGGAGCCCTACAATGCCACCCTGTCTGTGCACCAGCTGGTGGAGAACACGGATGAGACCTACTCCATTGACAACGAGGCCCTGTATGACATCTGCTTCCGCACCCTCAAGCTGACCACACCCACCTATGGCGACCTCAACCACCTGGTGTCAGCCACCATGAGTGGGGTGACCACCTGCCTGCGCTTCCCGGGCCAGCTGAATGCAGACCTGCGCAAGCTGGCTGTGAACATGGTGCCCTTCCCGCGCCTGCACTTCTTCATGCCAGGCTTCGCACCCCTCACCAGCCGGGGCAGCCAGCAGTACCGTGCCCTGACCGTGCCCGAGCTCACCCAGCAGATGTTCGACTCCAAGAACATGATGGCCGCGTGTGACCCACGCCACGGCCGCTACCTGACGGTGGCCGCTATCTTCCGTGGCCGCATGTCCATGAAGGAGGTGGACGAGCAGATGCTGAACGTGCAGAACAAGAACAGCAGCTACTTCGTGGAGTGGATCCCCAACAACGTCAAGACGGCCGTGTGCGACATCCCGCCTCGAGGCCTCAAGATGTCAGCCACCTTCATCGGCAACAGCACAGCCATCCAGGAGCTGTTCAAGCGCATCTCGGAGCAGTTCACGGCCATGTTCCGCCGCAAGGCCTTCCTGCACTGGTACACGGGCGAGGGCATGGACGAGATGGAGTTCACCGAGGCCGAGAGCAACATGAACGACCTGGTGTCCGAGTACCAGCAGTACCAGGATGCCACAGCCGATGAACAGGGGGAGTTTGAGGAGGAGGAGGGTGAGGACGAGGCTTGAGGACTTCTCTCATTGTCATGCATCCTTAGTGAACTTCCGTGTCCTCCAGCATGGTCTCTTTGTATACTATGGTGCTCAGTTTTGCCTCTGTCAGAAATTTACTGTTGATGTAATAATGTGGATCTTCTCATTACTGCAGACAGAACTGCTGCAGTATTGTCTCAGATATCTATACTAATAAAAGCATGTGTAAAAAACCTACGGTCCTCCCCTCCAAATAATCTTTATTCACTAAATGTATGAATTTCACACTTTAATCTTAATAGCGGTATATTTGTTTCAGTGATTTGATTAATAGCATTCTTTCTCCTTCAGTAAAGAGAAAGTATTTTTTTCTACTTTACCGGCCCGTGATATGAAAGGAGTCTCTCAGAAGTGACACAGGAGTAAAGGGGGATTAAGCAAACCACATTCCCTTCGTTCCCTATTCCGGAACCCCGATGAGTCTAGGTAAGGGCTTTCTTCTACTTGTTTTTCCTTGAGCAATGTGATAAACACGAATCAAATGACAGGTGCAGCTGTACCTCTTAGTAAAGGGTATGCTATAATTTCTAACTGTCCATAGGCAAATACGAACACTGCAAATGTGCCATCTAAAATTTATTTCGGCAGAAATTATGGTGGGAATTTTTTAAGACAATGATAGAAACTCTCAATGTTAAAAAAAAAAAAAATCAATCTTGGTAAACTATGAAAGCCACAGACGGTCTTCATGATTCTGTTTGATTAAGGTCACACTGCGGAGGGGGTTTTAGGAAGCCTGGAAATGCAAGTGGACTGAGGTGTGACATAGGGACAGGGGCCCAGAGGCACTGTGGTCATCAGCAGGCCCATAATCCAGCCCCACACTAGGATGCAACAAGACACAAGGATTCTTAGGGGCCTTTCATCGCAGGAAGTCTTCTGCTAACTTATTGAACTCATCTGCAAAACGTAAGTGCAGATTGTGTTTGCCTTCTGACATCAGATGCAACCTAAAGGATAAAAAGTAACAGCTTTAGATCCATGGCACAGGCTTTGAGGCCCTTTCCCCTCTCCAACAATTCATGGAAATCTTAACAGCCGCATAAGCGCCTGCCTTGCAAGCGCAGTCCTGTGTTCGATACCCGGAACCAAAAAATTCTGCCCCAATTTCCTGTGTGACTACTACCAGGGCGTCTCTACTTTCATGGCTGTGGATGTAGAGAGGGACACTTGGTGGCCTGGCCTCTCTAGAGATGGACTATAGGATAATCACTTAACAGCCACACACATTGTATTTGGAAAACCAACAGCAGGAGAGGGACTTTGCTGGTTACTTTAAAAAAAAAAATACATTTTAATGAAGTTGATTTTGAGGGAGAAGAGTGGATGAGTGATGTCCAGAATCTCCTAGCTTGGGGCATGCTGGTTCCTTGGGGTGTCTGTGTATAGAGAAAGTCCAAGTCAATTCAAGGTTCCAGACTGGCCCATTAGTTTTGCAGTGTGAGCAGACAAGCCTGAACACAGCCATGAACTAGGGGCACAATTCTAAAGACCCTGGGGATGGCAGGGCCACAGCGGCATCCCTGTGCCAACAGCCCCTGCCACAGCTGTCTCAGCTCATCTCGGGCCACCTTCTGTCCTGCCGGGCTTTTTCTATTCAGTGGGATTTTGGTCAGGGGAGACTGATTTGCAATTTCTTTAATAGACAACCCTTGGGTTCAATATTCATTAGCTGACAAAGTGTAAAAATTTTAAACCTGTGGAATAAGCACAGATGCAAGCCACGTGGTCTAAAGGTGTGTACTGGGCCCAGATTCCGGTGACCACACTGTGTACTTCTGGAGCTGGCGGGGGGGGGGGGGCTAAGAGTGCTCAGAACCTTGTGGTGATGGGCATCCTCGAGAGGAGGGAGCTGTCTTTGCAACATGCCAGCCTCTGGCAACTCAGCCACATGTGGGGTGGGGAGGGGAAGGCAGACTGCCAGCACCATTTGCCAGTCCCGGAAGGTTCACATCACTGTTAATAAGGAGAGCATCCTAATTCACTCGTGCTTCTGTGCAGAAAAGCAGCATGTGTTGTGCTGATCTCGAGACCAGATCCCAGTCGCCCCTCACACAAGGCTTGCAGGGATGCACAAGGCCTCAGTTTTAAGGAGACAGAAAAGATGCTGAGGGTCACAGAAGGGCATCCCCTAACTGAGCTCTGCTGGTCCCAAGGCAGCTAACTCCGACCCGCCACATTGAAATCCTCCTCTGGGCACAGCTCACCTTGCCACCATGAGCTCTGTCCCTTTTCCCTGACTTGCTGGCTCCCTGCTCACCAGCTGTGAATTCCTGCTTTTCAGCTGTTCAGTGAAGTCTGGGCCCCTCCAACAGTAATCACTACACCTTGGGGGAAACAAAACTAGGTCTGTCTCATTAAAAATATTGGAGGCCTGCCTCGATGATGGATGGACGGATAAAAAGATGGACGGACAGATAGACAGAGGACATTTACACGAACAATGAAAATATGAAGGAAGTCATTAGTGTTTTTGATCCCTTTTGGGGGTGATTCTGAGGTCCTCATATACATTCTTTGATGTCGGATGCCTAACTGGGTGAAACCTGTCTTGCGTGTCTCTGGAAACAGGCCCCGCATTGATGGGTGTAAATATTGGCTGTCATGGCCATGCAGTGGCTCTGCAGCTGACCTCATTTTCACCCAGACAACAAAGGGATCCAACCACGTGCCCCATGCAGCATGGTTTTCAAGCAATCATTTTACGGGAAAATTAGTCGGGTAAGAAGGGGCTCACAGCTGGCTCTGAAATCCAGGTGTCAGCCTCTGCAGGGCCCCTAACTCCTGAGATCTGAGTCCTCAGAGTCTGATTTTGCTCCCACCGAATTCGGTTCCCCCGAATGAATATGGTGACATCCTGGAGTCTTGGAAGAGGCATTAGATGGACTCTAGGATTAATGAGTGAGTCCTAAACTACTAGGTCTGGTGTCCTTATAAGAAGAGGACACAGGTTTGGAGAGACGCTGTGAGGTCAGGGAGATGATGGCCAGCTGAAACCACAAGGAGGGGACTCAGAAGGGACCAAGTCTGCCAGCACTGTGATTCTGGACCCGAGAAGTGACAGAACACACCCATGCTTCCGACCCCTGTCTTGGTGAACCCATCGAAGCTGAGAATCCTGGGGCGATAGGGCACTGCTCAGTGGGACAGTACATGGTCAGCATCTGAAAGGCCCTGGCTTCAATGCCCAGCAAAACACAAAGCCCCATACCCACTCCCACACACAAACATATTGTAATTCAGGCGGGGAAGTGCTTGGAGGACTCTCCTTGAAAGAAGAGCCATTATCTCCATTTTGGATAAACGTGGCCCTATCTTTGTGCACAGGTATGTACAGAGCTGGCCTGGCTATTTCTTTGTCCCTTCAATTGGCTTTAACCAGTGTAAACTGGGCTGGCTGAGGAGCTGACACATAATCTTTGAAGTCACTATTTCCCCTCCCTGTGATTCCTGAAAATCATGGCTGAGCCAGGCAGGGGTGGAGAGCACTGCTCCATGCAGTCGGCTGGGACTGAGCCTCTACCCAGGAGGCCGTGACTCCCCAGGGCAGAAAAGACTACATGGGAGCTGAAGCACCCACCCCCTAACATTAGAGACCCCCTCAGCTGTGCTGTGCAGATTACTCTCTCTGCATTTCTTTCCCTCTGCGTGTCACAGAGGTGATCTCAAGCCTCCCACCTAGCCCAGCTCACAAGTACTTGTCGGGGGTTCTGGGTCTTGGCTTTTGTTCCCAGTGAACACTCTCTTGGCTGGACTTAGGACCCCCTTGGCTCCCCCATAACTGTCTTAAGCCGCTTTATTCTCCCCAGGTTGCACTGGAAGTGGTAGATTGGAATTAACTTGCTAGAATTTGATAACGTTTCCATGGAATTACAAACTTCTCGAAACAGATCTCTATATTAAAAAATGCATTTAAGGGCCTAGGGTTTAGCTCAGTGGCTTTAAGTGCCTGCTTAGCAAACTCAAGGACATGAGGTCAATGCCTGGTAACAATAACAACAACAAAAACCCCCCACATTTAACACTGAAAGGTTTTTGCCTCATAGAAGTTAGGTGCTCTAAGGAGGCGAAAGGCCAAAGCAGAACGCCTACCACTTCCTGCTTCTTCCCCAGCTCCTGTTTGCATGCAAAGAAAACTGCGATTGGCTGCGCTCGGTCAGCAATGCCCGCCCTAAGCCCCACCCCAGTCAGCGGTTTTTATATATATATCCCATGCCCCACGTTCCAGCAGAGAAAGCCAGGCCCGGTGGTCATGGAGTTCTCTCCGCGCTCTTAAAATAAAGGCTGTTTTTATTTTATAGTCTCTCTTTTATCACGCTGAAAACCCTATCATTTGGTTCCCTGATCGGGAAGGCACAGTGAGTGGCTCCTGGGGCCCCTCCCAGTTTGAGCCCCTCTGCCACCTTTTTCTTCCTCTGGGACTGTTTACTTGCTGCCCTAATCCGCATGCAACAGCGACCTTCCTCCCTGAACACAGGTGAGCTGCTGTCTGTCCAGGGTTTTCTGTTTCCGTTCCTTAGCAGTCCTGCAACAGAAAACCCGACCTGCCTTCCAGTTTTCACGCTCGCACGCTCTCTAGGCCATCTGGCTTGAGGCAAAACTGGTATTTTTATTCCCCTTCTTGGGGACCAGGAGGAGAATGGGTGTCGGAAAATAGGTGAGGATCTCTTTAGTTAAGTGTGACCCAGCACAGCTTTCTCGGTCCTTGGGAGAGAGCTAAAGCTCTTACGTCCTGAGGCGAAGTTGTTCTCTCAGCTCACTTATAAGTCAGCCCTGGGGACCACTTCCTGTCCCCCAAAAAACACACCTCTGGGTTGCCTGGCTCTTAACCTGGGTGCTCTTAGCCTGTAGAAGGCTATAAAAACCAAAGCTGACCTTTCATTTAAGCTTTTGTCACAGTGGCGGCAAGTTGGCAGACACCCTTCATCCCTAGGCCTCTCACTTTGAGGACGTGTCCTCCTCTCACTCTGCCTTCTGTGATGGCCCGAATGCTTCTGGCTCTGCTCCTGCAGGATCGCTCCCTGCCACCGGACCCCTTAGGTGATGCGGCTCCTGTCTGTGCCCGGCTCCTCTCCTGCATCTCTCAGCCCAAACCCCGCAGCCATCTCAGCTAGAGGTTTCTGTGCCCCCCGCGCCGTCCTGGCCCCATCCCTCACCCACAGCGGCCTCTACTCCTGCCCCTGGCATCTCTCCTAGTCTCCAGCTTCTCAGTCCCCCCACCCCCACGCAGCCACCTGTCCCGTCTGAGGGTTCTTGGTCCCCTTTCCCTGCGTCGCCATTTTTCTCTGTCGGCTCACCATATGCAGTCTTGGTGTTCCAGCTTTCTGGCAGGCCACACAGTTGCCAGCAGCCATGTTGCTGCAGCTCTCGTGGAGGACAGCCACCATCTTGGGGCCTCCACCATGTGGCAGGGCGCTGCCATCTTGCAACGGATCTCAGGGTCAATGGGCCGCCTCCTTGTGGCCCTTCCTTTGATCAGCAGCAGTTAGGCTGCTACGGGTCACATGGTGACCCACCAACAGCCTGTATTTCCTTGTCACATAGCGACAAGTGGCTGTTTTTATAGCCAATCATCCAGTAATTGCCCACATATGCCTGCCGGACAGTTGGCCACTCGGTGGCCATCTACTCCACAGCCTTCTCAGCCTCAATCTCTAATTATAGTTCAAATTGACCAAATATATTTGAATATACTTTAATTTTATAAGATGAATGTCAGTTTATATATCTGTTGTCTGTCCATTTGTCTCCTCTGTAAACAGCTGTTTCTTTTTATTTGAGCTCAACAATTTTTCCTCCTCTTTCACATTTTCAGATCATTTAATCAAGGTTTATTTTGGTTATAGATTTAAAAAACATGCTTCTACCTAGGTTGCCAGCTGGTCAAAATGATGCTAAAATTGGTTAAATGAAATCCCTAATGGTGAGGGGACACAGGACTGGACTCCAATTGTGATAAACAAGAGAGTGGCCACCTGGTAACTTTAACTAGCTCTTGTTCATTAATTGGAAGCCCCAATAATCTCCATAGCCTTACGGGAGACACCCCCACTAAATAAAGTTCATATGACTAAGACAATTCATTGTTGCTGATCTGATGGTATATTGATGCCCTCAAATATAAAATTGGGATTGTTTATGATGACAAGTGTTTTTTTTCAGATCCAGACGTCTGTCTTTTTCTTTTGTTCCAGCCAGGAGATTTAGGTCAGACCAGCACGAGGTCACCAGTCAAATGATAATTTTTAAACAAAAATTTATATAATGTATATGTTATACTTAGAGATGCTTGAATAGTGAGCAGTCCAAACAATGTCACAAATTTCTTCAGTGCTCAAATGTTAAAACACACATGGTTAATAGAAAATAATAGTTTCATTTAATGTTTAATGTTAAGCTTACTGCCTCTACTGCACTGTGCTGTTATCAATCTTCTGGTTGTTTAACAACTAAAATTAAGAAATAATTATAAATTCCTTTTGGATTCCTTTTGCTCGGATCCACCAGATCTTTTCCAAAAAAGATTATATGATGCATATTGGGGCCATAATTAACTATACTCAACTGGCTTAAAATGACACCACAGCTGACCTCTCTCCTAAATAAAAAGGTAAAATTAATAAAACAGATCATCCTCCAAAAATCCAATGGCATTAGACATTCTAACAGCATGAGATACAATTGTAAAACCTAAATGTGTACATGACAAATGAATGACATGTCAGTTTCTAAAATTCCCTGGACCTTATCCTCCTTATGGGAAGCCATCACTAAAGTTATAATCATAAATACCCTGTTGAGTATATACCCTGCATACTTGATTCTTTGCCTTTGTCTCCTTTAGACTTAACCTACCCAAGATAAAAACCAGATGTCTTGTGACTGTAAAAGAGACAGATACCTTCCACTGTGGGCCAGATCCCAAGACAAAAGGCTAAACTTGGCCCTCAAACCTCACCGGAAGACCTTAATATGGCTTTTCATGTTTTCAACAACAGAGATAAAAATCAAAAGGAAAAATAACAATCCGATCTTTTAGCAGTGACACTTGCAGCTCTGAGACAGGTAAACTGAGACAAGACAAGTCTGTGCCCCTCCAGGACCATGCTTCAAGTGCAACAAAGAAGGACATTGGGCAAGAGAGTGCCCCAACCCTGGCGTTTTTCTGGGGCCTTGCCCTTATTGCAATCGCAAGGGCCATTGGAAGAGCGACTGGCCTAGGTGCCAGAGAGTGGATAAGCCATCCTCTAACTCCTTGCCCTTACAGGAGATCTCATCACCACCAGATTCATCACTGACTGATCTACTTGGACTTGTAGCTGAAGACTGATGGGCTTCAGGGTCCACAGCCCTCCATTAAGGTGTCCTTCTCAGAGCCCCAAGTCCCACTGGAGGTCTCAGGTAAGATGTTCTCTGTACTTGTGGACATACAGGCCATGTATAGTGTTCTTCCTGAGTTTTCAGGCTGCTATATTAAGTCCTCAGTCTCTATAGTGGTATTGACGGCCAACCCACACAGCCTTTGCAGACAGTGCTTATTCCATCCAGGTTTCAGACTCGCTTCTTCTCTGGTCAATCCCATAGTTTGAGTTAACTCCAATCCCACCTGCACTACCCATGCCATGCCTATTTTATCTCAGGGATCCTTTAATTTTTCTTTGCGTTCCCCAATATCCCATAGCTCCCAAACATTTACAGGGATTTACAACTATTATTAAATGTCTTTTAGACAATGATTTTCTTAAACCTACCCATTCACCCTATAATACTCCCATTCTTCTGATATTCAAGCCTGATGGGTCTTATCGTCTAGTGCAGGACCTTGGGGTAATCAATAATGCCATTACCCCAAACCACCCAGTAGTGCCAAAACCTTGTACCGTGCTCTCTCATATCCCTCCCTCCACCACTCACTTTATAGTCACAGATCTTAAAAATGCCTTTTTTATTCCTTTGTATTTATGCAGACTGACCCAGACACTCTGAGGTCTCAACAACTTTTATACCTGTTATCTCTATCCACGTGCCCTGCCACAAATCTCTCAAATATCTTCTCATCTTTGTTTGTTCTTTTTCAGGATAGACAAAAGCCTTTCCCACAACTAGGAAGACTGATGATATACTTACTAAGGTCCTGTTACAGGAAATCATCCCAAGGACACAACCAAGGTGGAGCGGCCCCTACCTGGTCTTCTTGGCAACCCCAACAGCGGTCAAAGTTGCTGGACTGCCATCCTGGTTCCACATCACTCAAGCAGTGCCCTCCCAGCCCTGAATCTAACCATCCTATCACCCACCCGTCTCCATCTCACCAAGGCCTCACAGCCACAACTCTCAGGCTAAGTCATGTTTTGTTATCCAATTTATTAGTTCCTAATTCCTTATATTCTATTAATTAATTATCTTTTTTATAACAGGACTTTTAACACTCTTTCCTAAAGATTCCCACATTATGTGTAAGATCATCTTCGTGTTGCTCTAAGTGATAACTGTCTTTGTTCTCTATACCCTCAGCTGTTTAGTCAAACGTGAGCCTGTGGGCCTAGGCTCTTACCTCCTTTATAGTGACATAGCTACGGCCATCCCCACCCCTCTTATTCTTTCCAGCTCAACTCCTGGACCAGAAACAAGGCCTATGTACCTACACTCTTAACTTTTACATTTTCAGATGGGGGAATAATCACCTCTCATAACTTCATTCCTCCTAATCCGACACTTATTTTTCAGAATTCTACCTCACCGTGGTCCTGATGGAATGGCATATTTAAATCAAAAACACGTTTCATTCTACCTCCCCTGGGTCCTTAAATATGACAGTGGCCTGCCTCCTCATAGCACCTTGTCTCTTTGTTTTCCAATCTAACATGTGGGCATTCACCAATGATAAAGTTGTCCTGGCTGAAACACCTGGCACCAGCTTCTGCATGGGCATAAACCGTCATCCCATCAACCTTCCTAAGCCCCAATATGGTGCCCTCTTTCAGCAAAAAATAGTAAGAGAGACTTCGCCCTTTTCCTAACAATACAAAGACGAGTGGAGGGAGGGATATGAGAGAGCATGGTATAAGGGTTTGGCACTACTGGGTGGATTGGGGTAATGGGGTAATGAAAGGTTCTTGCCTCAGTAGAAATTATGGCGGTGGTCTAAGGAGGCAGAAGGCCAAGGTGGAAATGCCTACACTTCCTGCTTCTTCCCCAGCTCCTGTTTGGGTGCAAAGAAAACTCCAATCGGCTGTTCGCATCAGCAATGCCCAGCCTAAGCGCCACTCTGGTCAGAGGTTATATACATATCTCCTGACCCAAGTTCCGGCAGAGAAGGCCAGGCCCTGGTGGTCACGGAGTTCTCTCTGCGTCCATAAAATAAAGGCCATTTTTATTTTATATTCATTTATCACGCTGAAAACCCCATCAAATATACCTGTCTTATGGAGCATCACAAACTTAGACAGGCTCCAAACTCTTATAGTAACCTACCATTACTACTGGGCAAAACCATCTAACATGAGGTCTGTTTCACAGTAAGACAGTGAGTATCTCACAGAATCTACTGGATATGACACTGAAAAGGAGAAATGGACCGGTTGTCCAGGTACCCTGAGACATCACTATGAAGTAGACAGATGAGCCAGTGCATCTGCAAACCTCCGTCCCTGTCTCAGCAGCCCCAGGCACGTCTCGAGTGCACACAGGGCCGTGCAGCTGTGTGTAGTCCCATCCTGCTGTGGGCTGGCCCAGCCCTACTGTCCCCTGCCCATGCTGCCTGACCCCTGTTTCCAGTCTGCTGAGAGTGAGCGAGGCTGGTAAGCCAGGGAGGTGGCACTGAAGTCAGCACCTGTCAGTGCAGCAGGAAGTCTGGACACCTGGGGAGAGGGATGGCACTGGGGGCCCAGAAGGCACGGTCTGCTGTGCACTCAGGGCAGCTGTCCTGTGTCTCATGTTTCCACTTCTGTCTAAGATTCAGTTTCAGGAAGGAAGTCCACTGCCTGAACACATTTTTAAAACCACAGAATCTGAGTGATCTGTAAGGCTTCCTTGTATCCAAGAGACTCCACGATTCCCCAGCCACAAAGACAGAAGAAAGGGAAGGAGGTGAACATTAATGCAGGTCTTGCTCCGAGGAAGGAAAAGCAGCCTGGTGCCTTCTTCACACTAGATACCTATTTCTTGGTCAAAATAAAATAAAACACACACACACACACACACACACAAACCCATCTGTGACCGCACAGACAACGCTTGTAAGTTAAACCACGATGCACCTGGCAAAGCAACGGGAGGCAGGCGGAGGGCATCCGAAGCTCATGTGCCCAGCTGCTTCCTGTGTCAGGCAGCCAGGTGCGCAGAATCCCAGGATTCTGGTCCTTCAGGAATTCACCTTTTGTGGGTTCCCAAATACAATGAGTGTTCTGGGAAAACTCATGCCCAACATAAAGGCACTTGTAGCAGAAGCAGTGGAAAATACAGACCAGTTTCAGACAAGCAGGAACACCTCATCTACAGCCCATCTGTTCCAAGAATACTCTAGGAGGATGATCTTGGGGAGGTCTTTGAAGATCTGGCGAGATGGCACAAGTGGGGCAGAAGCAGCAGCGAACCCTCCGTAAGTTTGGCTACCGCGGCGCAGACCTCAACCAGCTGCTGGACACGTCCTGTGGTCAGCTGGTACAGCTCTATAGGGTAGCGTGGCGGTGGCAGCGGCAGCGGCAGCGGCTGACCCTCGGCCTGCGGTGGGGGCAGCACTTGCTGCTGAAGTGCATGCGAGATAAAAGAGGAGGCCCTGCCCACGGAGAAGCAGAGGTGGGGAAGACGCACCTTTGGGACACCATCGTCCTGCTCGAGACGGTGGGCGTCTACTAGGGCAAGCCCTTCAGCCAGGTGGAGATCAAGCCTGAGATGATCGGCCACTACCTGGGGAAGCCCAGGCAGCCTGGCATCAAGGCCACCTTTGACGCTTTACCCCCCTCAAGTAGCCACTTGGCCAAAAAAGCCAACACTGCCCTCCCCCCTCCAAAACACTGTTCACTGGAACAAGTAATATATTCAGCAAAGAGTGTGCTTTTCTCCCACAGTGATATATTCTGTTGCTAGGAGACGGGTCTGGGATAGGGTTCCTAAACTAAACTACTGCAGGCTGACTTTCAATGAACCTGGCTCTGTAAGAGAACACATCCCACTTACTATGCATGTTCGTGTGCAAATGCCTGTCATTTTTGAAGCCGGATGTCAATCAAGCCACTTAATGTATCACTAGGAATCTTAGCACTGCACTAATTGCACTTACAAGGGGAAGCCGTGCTGTCATGGAAAAGCACTGTACTAGGAGGAAACAGATGTGGCATTTGTCGTTTACTAACTATGCAACCTTGAAAGACTGCTTAACATGGGTCAGCCTTGATTTCTCAGCTGTAAAATGAGTAGTTTCCCCTTAAGTTTGTTGTGAAGTATAATGAGATACTATATACAAAACAAAATTCTATATGGAAACATCATATTGTACATTGTAAATATGCAAAATTAAAATATAAAGACTAACATTATATGGAAAACCTTAGGAGACTTACTAAGAAAATGAGGTGGTACCACACCCATGATTAGTAATATAGTATTATAAAAGCCTACGTTAGAAATTGCACTATTGCCTACTAAGTCAATTTGTGAACTTTTCTACTAAATCTGTATTTCCATCTACAATCTTAATTTTTTTTTTTTGTATTGGGAATCAAATTCAGGACCTTGCACTTGCCAGGCGGGCACAGTGCCATTGAGCTATACCCCTGGCCCTCCACCATAATAAAATCTTAATCTGAGTTCTACCTTTATTCTTTGTGCTCAAATGGAACATGGAATATTTACTGTAGATGCTCATTTGTTTTGATGCATGCTTCAACATGTATAGCAGGAAATATGTGGAATGAAGAGATACCTTTTACTTTACTTTTTTTCTTTTTTGGTACCGGGATCAACTCACGGCCTTATGCTTGGCAAGCAGGCACTTACACCACTAAGCTAAATCCCTGTACCTGCCCTTTTACTTTAAAGAACGCCATGTAGGAAGTTCAGCAGTTTACAGGGACTGCAGTTTAATGTATGGTAAGAGATTCCCCCACATTTAGTTTCCTAGAGAAATCTACAGTTAGGGAGGGAGAGCCCAGGAGGCAGCACTAGAAAGGTTCGGCCCCACTTCCCCTGCTGGGCTGCGACCCCACTGGCCCTGGCAGGCCTCAGGAGCAGACATATGGAGGTGAAGGATGGAGGGAGGATTTTCCTATGCTAATTGTAAAAGAACCATAGAATCCAAAGACATCCTGATTCATTCTCAGCGACTCTGAGGGGCCAAGTCTCAGGGGGATGTTAATTTTCTAATATATTTGCTTAAAAACAGAAACCAGCCATTCACCTCCCCATAATACCTCGCTGGGTATACATCTATGGTGCGGGAAGGAAACATGGTCTTTATCAAGTGTCATGTTTCTGTCTGGATAAAAGAGGCAGCAAAAGCTGGCTCCTGTGTCAGCCAAAGTAATGAAAACACACACTTCTATTTCATATAATAATAGAAGTTCTGCTGAAATAAGGCTCTCTGGTGTCCAGAGTTGCTTGCAGGAACAAGGACAAGACGACCACAGAGAGACAGGCCACTGCCACGGTATCAGCTGAGCCACCTCCATGGCTGCTGCGTGTTGTGCTCGCAGTGCTCAAGAACAAGCTTCTCATTTTGGTGCACACATGTTCAAGGCCGAAAAAGCGTGAAGAGTTTACAATATAAAGTGAGAAAATAAGCAGAATTCGGAGCTGAGAAAAACTAAAACTAGAAGTTCCTGGATGAATGAAACCATTTCAGTCCACCAGGACCGACACAAATCTACACTGTCGCCATGTTGTAGAACTCGGTGCCTACTCACACATTCACCCTTCGCACTAAAACGCACCGATCAGAGGAGTCCCTTCCTTCCGGCATCGCTTTCCCACCCCTCGAGGCTCCTGTCCTGGCCCCTCACAGGCCCTGAACATGAGATGCTGTTTGCTGACATCAGCCTCTGGGGGCCGGAGGGTGGAGACAAGGTGACCAGACTCACCTCGAGCCTCTCACGTGCTTGTGGATGAAGTCCGCGTGGAAACGTGGGACCAGGGGGTCCTTCTCCCCATGCACAATGAGCGTGGGACACTGGACCAGGGGAAGCAGGTGCCGGCAGATGTTACCTGGAAAACAGAGAGCGCAAGGCACCTGCTGAATGTGGCCTGCCTGAGAGGCAAGGAAGGAATCTCGATGAGCAGGGCTGGATTCTCGATGCCCCGAGGGCCTCTGGATTACGGCTCGGGGCCCCACAGGGTGCACTGGAATGCAGCAGCATCTTGGGCAAGGACTCGGGGATGTCCTTAGGTCACTGGAGGCACGTAGCCCCAACCTGTCCTCTTCCCTGTGCCTCCTGGCTCACGATGAGCCCCAACCTGTCCTCTTCCCTGTGCCTCCTGGCTCACGATGAACGCAGTCTTGTTCTGCCACGAGCTCCCACCACGATGGGTGGCCTCATCAGAGGGCCAAAGTTCTGTTGTCATGGAGCGGAACCTTCACAACTGTGAGCCAAATCACAGCTTCCTCTTAGGAGGTAACTGCCCCGCATGCACGGATAGTCACGGAGCCAGGGCACCTCTTGGGATCTCAAGTTCTGGGAAAACGGGGGCTGGATCTGGGGTCCCCTCCAGCTCCCACATGCTTAGGGCTTCCTTTTTTTATCTTTGCTTTAAAGTTCTACTAGTAAATGAACACCTTTGCCAGATTTAAACTCATAATTCATGTAAAATCATGGGAAAATGAGACAAAGGAAAATCGCACAGCCCTTTACACCACACAGGGAAAGCCCATCCAGCAGTGGGGAGACTCCTGACACCCTGAAAGCTTTTTGCTTGTGGCCATGCCCCAGAGCATGTGGAGCCGGCAATGATGTGACATGAACTTCACTGTTAGTGTCTCAGTGACCATCCCAACTGCCACCCCTGGGAGACTGCGAGGATCTGGCCCTTCTGAGGCACTGAGAGCCCTTCTGAGGCACTCAGGGACCTGGGTTCTAGTTCCTGTCCTGCTGTTTCCTGCTGCTGGGCCTCAGCCTCAGCCAGGAATCATCATCATGCCCTGGGGTTATTGTGCGGCTAACAGAGCCATACAGAAGGTCCCTGACACCCCTGAAACTAGCCTTTCCTCCTTCTCCTCCCTTCCCCAAGGTGTCAGGAGGACCAGGCAGGCTCGGAGCCAGCCCTGTGCACTGCTGACTAGGCACTGTGCTCTGGCTGCCTCTTCTGCGGGTGGTGGCTTTCATCAAGGAGACACCCGGCACTCTGAGGCCTCCCTCTTCATTCCCTGCATGGCACACACCCACCCACTGTGTTGTCAGACAGTGACGCTGAAAGCCTATGTAACTGCTTCAGTCCCTGTGTGCTTGTTACACAGTGCAGGCCCAGGCTTTAACCCACACTGGTATGCACAATCACTCATCAATCGAGTGCTTTTCTAAGAACCTTGTATGACACATTGTGTGCAGCAGCACCACAGCTGGACCTGTAGCATCTCACTTAATCTCCACCAAATTATGAGGTCACAGGCAGGAGTCTGAAGCTTAGAGGAATGAAGTCATGTGGTCACATCCACCTGAACAGCAGGCCAGGCGGTGAAGCCAGAATTCAAACCCAGACCTGCTGGGCTCCAAGGCTGTATCGCTAATCCTACGCTAGATAGGTATGTGTAGCCTCAACTGTGCAATTATCGGAAAGGGCACACAAGGGAGATTAATGACCTCACTATGACGGACCTCCAGCCTGCTAGAACTTCTTTATCATGACCTGTTCTTCAGTGCTGGTTTAACTTTTGGTTGGTTTTTGGATCTCCTGGTCTCCCTGGTCTCCTCGATAAAGCATTAAAAATTTACGATTCCTAATATAAAGTCATTAACAGAAACTGATTCAGACACTGTTTCATGGTATTTTCATTTTGAGGCACTTTGTAACTGAATGTGCTCCAAGATTAGATGTTAGCTATTCTGTCCTGTAAGCAAGTAAATGAAATAAAAAGAGGAAATGGAGACCCTAAACTTGCAACGATTTGGGTCTTGGGTGTCTCTAGAGACGCATGTGTAGGGGTTTTGTCCTTTGGTGTGGTACTGCAGGGATGCCATGGGGCCTTTTAAGAGGCAGGACCCTGGGGGAGGTCCTCAGTTCAGGCAGCACAGCACCGGGCTACCCGCCTTCCTCTCCGCTTCCTGACTTTGCTGCACCCGGCATGGCTCGCTGCCTTGCCACAGGCCCTAAAGTAACAGAGCCAACTGACTACGGACTGAAGGCTTCAAAACTGTGAGCCAAGTAAAGCACTGTATGAAGCTGATCATCCCAGGTATCTGTCATAGTAACAGAAAGCTGACCAGGGGCTGGGGATTTAGCTCAGAGGCTCAAGCACTCGCCTGGTAAGTGTGAGGTTGTGAGTTTGATCCCCAGTACCAAATAAAAAGGTAAAATAGGAAGCTGATCAACACAGAGCTATATAAAACCACACTTTAGCTCAGAACTCCTCTTGAAGACACCAATTCTTCTGTTTACAGAAATCTTGCTAATTTTCAAATAAAGAGATACTCGTCCCTGGCTAAAGTCATATAACTTGATTCTGAAGATGGGGAAAATAACTAAAACTCTGTTTCCTACAGAACTTATTCTGGGCTTGAAGACCATGAAACTTCATCTTTGTGTCCTGGGAACAGATGTGCAGTAGGATGACATCTAAACAGGCAAAACGGAAAGCCACTGTCTACACTGCAGCTGGTCTGTTTTCTAATTCCCCATTCTGGAATCAGAAAACAGAAACTGAGGCTTCTGAAGAATTATTTTGTCATCACACACACAAAGGACTGAAGGAAAAAAGAATAGTCTGCTTGTAAAGGCTCAACAATATGAAGCTTTATACAGGAGTCCTGTCTCGAATTTAAGGCACAGTATTATACAAGAACCCATATTGTGCACAATAACTAAGTTCTCTGTCCACACGTCACTGTGCAAGGATAATGGGTGGATTCATCAGCCACTGAGGAATGCTGGAATGTCAAGGAGGCCTCCAGCATCCTCTCTAATTAGCAAAGGAATCATTAAATTGTCCAGGCAACCTACCATCGGGGAGATGTTTAAACTGTCTTATGCCATCCACCCACTTTTCACAGGTTTTGGCAAAGTAGTCATAGCCATAAAGGGCTTCGAGAGGCTTCCGTGCTTTCTCACTCCATTTAGAAACATCTCGGATACCTGGAAAACAAAAGCGCGGCCTGGACTGGTTATGTTTCACACCAAGGCAGCATCTTCCCATCCCAAGCCCCAGCCATCTCAGGCCTCACACCCCGTTCCGCCTGCTGGAAAGGCTTCCCCTGCTGTCTGAATGCTCTCTTGGATGCCACTGGGTCTCCCTGCCCACCACCTGGGCCCTCCTCTCCATCTCCTCTGCTGCACACTTCCTCTGTCCGGCCGGGTTCCCTGCCTGTGTGACTGTGCCTGCTGTCCATTTAGGGCATCTGCCCCAAGGCTCACACCTGCGGCCCAAGCCTCTGCCTCCCCTAGAATGGGCCCACGGCAAACGCTTATCAAATAGAGGCAATCAGACCCGCACTGAGCTCTTCATGTTACAGGTGTGAGATAAAAGAAAACATTCCCCTAAGTGAGGTCACCTGAGTGAGAGCAGCATTGTGTAATCCATCGGTATCTGGAGGGATTGGTCCAGGAGCCCCGCAGATTCCAAAATCTATGGGTGTTCAGATCCCTTCTATGATGTGACAGACGACTTGTGCAGAACCCGCGCACCCACCCCCCCACAGACGCTGAGTCACTGCTGAATGACTTGCCATACTCAAGGCAATGCAAGTGCTGTGGAAGTGGCTGTGGTATTGTATTGACTGGTGCACAGTGGTAAGAAAGAGTCTGTCCACACTCAGTCAGACTCTTAAGTGTAGACTTAATTTTAAAAAGTATTTTCAACCACGACTGCTTGAATGCATAAATGCAGAACTCATGGGTTTCAGTAGAGGGGCAGCACATTCATAAAGCAGTCTTTTTTCTGGCACATTGAGAAACATAAAATTACAAGTTCTGCTACAGAAGAAACAACAGTTCAGAACGAATCCACAAAGGCAGTGACTCAGCTCCTAGCGCTCTCGAGCTCATAAAACGTTGCTTACCAAGTGCTCTTAGAGCTTCTGCTAGAGGACAGGCCCGAGAGGAAGAGGACACTGCCCATGTGAACTCACATCAAAGAACGCCCCACGCAGGGTCTGGATGGGGTGGCTGGACTCCACGCGCTCTTACTGCATGGAAATAACTGAATGGAGGGAAAACTGCTGTGTGTACAACTGCTTCTGAACAGGGTGGGCCCTGCAACGGAAGGGAGCCTGCTTCACTTCCATGGGTTCGGCATTCAGAGGTGAGCGGGGGTGAGCTGACCACAGGGCCAGCAAGGGCTGAACTGCCCAGCACGGTGTCCTGAAGACTTCAGGGGTACGTGGGAGAAGCAGCCAAGTAAGTCAAGGTGTAGGGTGGCTTGAGAAGAAAAAGGAGAGTTTGAGAGTGGGAAAAGCAGAGAGAAGTTGGCAAGAGGGTGTGAAGGAAGGCAGTAAAAATTTCCCTACGGTGAGACCGACAGGGGTGCTCAGTGGTCTGACCCTGGCCTGGGCTTCCACGACCTCCCTCCTTCCCTCCCTCACCATGAGGCTGCTTCCAGCAGCCATGCTCCGAGGAAGGGCCTCTTGCATGGGAAATGCTAGGTCTGCCATGAGACCTAATCCCGATGCCTGCAGGGAAATGAGGTAAGCCCTGGACACACCTGGGAGAGGACTCTCAGGGCCGCTCTGGGGAGCAAATGTGTTTGTTTTCAGTTTGCCACCTGCTGTGCTATGTCTGAGCACATGACACTCAGCAATGCCACTTGCAGGCTCAGCCTGAAGACACTGCTGCTCCTACACCCTGGATATGGCAGGGGGAGCTTCACAGCAACACTGAAGATAAACCAGCTGCCCACTGGCAGGAGACTGGGCCCAGGAGCACCCCCAGCACGGCACGGCAGTGAAAGCAAGCACCAGGCAGCTATAAGCAGTACCTCGAGTGAATCTGAGATGTGAGAGGCGGAGGACCCGAGTCAGAGCTGGTTAGGCAAACTGAACTATGTGCTGCTCAGGCGTACAGAGTACGCAACAGGACTGATTCCTCACGGGCACAGAGTGCACTCAAGAGGCTCAGGTGGAGGCTGGGGATAAACTGGGGGGAAGCACATAGCCGAAGCAAGACTCCTAGTGGCGACCATCACACACTCCAGGCCGGGGTCAAGGCTGTCCTGACCCCCACATGCTGCATGGTCTGACCTATACCTATCAAACGTTATGTAGCAAAAAAACCAAGTAGGAAAAAAAGTTCCTGGTGAGGCAAAGGTCCAGACTCTGTAAGAACCAGCTGACAATGTTCCACATGAACCCATTTTTCTTGCTGAAATATAAAGCTATCATAGAGGAATAGCAAAGATCCTTGTAATGCATTCACTTAGCAAAGGCAGGCATGGGAGAGGTAACCTGCGGGAAGGTCTGGTCCAAGGCAGGCACAGACGGCACAGGAAGTCGTATCTGCGCTTGCAGGGGGAGAAATCTGGGCATAGCTGCGGTGAGCCAGACATGCACCTCGGGCACCTCAGTCAAGCGTCCCAACTGGGCGTGAGCCCCGCTCCTGGGTGCACTCAATCTGACACCCAGCCAGTGTCCCAACCCCCCCACAGAGCAGACAGGCCCGCCCGTGCCTCCTCCTCTGAGAAACAAGAGTTTAAAAATGTCCTGGAGTAAGAAGTGGGTTAATCCCTAAAATGTGGTCTCGACAGTGTGACAGGGACTCAAAAATAGTCTTTGTATTTGTATATTTACTTTGGCTAATTTATTTCAAGAAGCCAGTTTTGCCCCTGAAGTATAATTACTCTCAAAAATTAAGTAGTAATTTTGTTTCACAGTGAAGTTCTCAAAATAATCATTTGAATCAAAGTGTTTGCTGATCCACAACAGAACTAATTTGGATCCCAAAAGAATTGGATATATTTCTCTTTAGAGTACTGGGACTGAAATGAAGAAACTCGCCGCTCATCACTAGTTAGTGAACACACCGGTAAACCCCGATCAAAGCCGGCCGTGACTGGTTACCACTGACCCAACTTGACTGCGACCAGGTCCTCACGGTCCAGGGTGGAACTCACACAGCACCTGCGCACAGAGGCCCCTTGTCCACAACAGACACACGCCAGACGCCCTGGATCCCGAAGCCTCGACAGTCCTGAGCCCTGCTAACACAGGCAGGCTGCTGTCACCTGTATGCACCAGCTCTGATAAAGCCTAATGTACTGCTGCCTCATAAGGGACTCTCCTACGAGGACAAACAACTGTAAGAGGAAAGGACCTGTGAACAGGGGGAAGGGAAAGCAGGCAAAGAGCAGAGGGGTCATGATCAGAGTCCAGTGGGGAGGACAGGGGCACTGCGGCCCCAGACATGACTTGGGCTCCGGCATGACACAGGTCACGAACTGAAGAATCCAGTTTTAGATCAAGGCAGGCCATGTCCTGGGGCTCAAAACAAACCTTTAATAAACCCCCAGAACTGAATGCGTAAAGTATGCTTTCCGAATCTAATAGAATTAAACTAGATACCAATAGCACCAGATACCACTAGTATTTGAGAAACCCCAAGTACTTGGAAGTTAGATAATACACTTCTCTCAAACTACGGGAGAAAGAGGAAGTCTGAAGGGATGTTAGAAAATATTCTGGTCTAAATTAAAATACAATGTATTAAAACTTACAGAGAGCATAGATGTAGCATTGCTTAGAATAAAATTTACATCATTAAATACAGTAGAAAAAGAGAGGTCTCAAATCAGTAACTTAAACTTCTATTTGATACTAGGAAAAGAAAAATCAAACCAAACCCCAAAAGAAACAGAAGGAAAAAATCCTGACAATCGGAACAGAGACTGAAGAGTGCAGACAGGCTGAAGAGCGGTAAGACAGGAGGAGGAAGAGGGCGACGCTTGGAGCAGGACCGAGCCGGCTGGGCTGAGAGCAGGGATGGGGTGGAGGTGGATGACACAGGAGGCTACTGGGCCACAGCTCCCTCGGCCTCCGGCACTGAGCCACAGAGAGCACGGGACAGAGGACAGGAGGAGGGCAGTAAGCCACCCTCACCTGCAGGAGTTCCCTGTTCTTTACAGGACGCTCGCCTGAGTAGCTTTCAGAGGTCTCTTAACTGCAGAGCAGTGAAAAAGACCAGGCCTATGAGAGCCTCATCTGGGGTCTTTAGACTTTTTCGTACAGGGAAAGAGGGACTTGTGCAGATGCTTACATGTGAGGGGAGGAAACACCTGCACTGTCTCCGGCAGTTGTGGGGTACACTGTCTGGGGTCTACTGGCAGCCTGAGGGGGCAGGGCTGGCAGGTGGAGGTGGTGGGATGCCTCAGGGAACCCTGGAGCAAACCCCGATGTGACCCACTTCCTCCCAAGCCTGGCCATCCCACTTTGGGTGCCTCGCTGCAGGTAGAGTGTTTCTGTGCCTGGTGCCTAGTAATTCCCGAAAGCTCCCACGTGTGTGGTGTCACGCAGGCCCTGGGCATCGAACCCGAGTGGAAGTGGAATGGGGAGGGCGGGGTGGCCACCCCAGCTGGTCTTGGTGGCTCCCAGAGCAAGCTGCTCAATTTCTACCCAGGCCTTACAAAAGCAGGTGACCCACAGGCTGCAGGCTGCTGGCCCCTGCTCTACTGTGGGTAACCTCCGCCAAAGCCTGAGGCACCACCCCAAAATGTACAAACAGCATGAAAATTCTTGCAATCAAGATGGAAGGTTTCCTGTTTGAACTGCTTTACACTCGCTTGCTTTAAACGAGGTCATGAGTAACACCCCGTCCCCCGCCCCTCGGCTTCGCTAGCAACGGCCGTGATGCAGACACTGCTTCTCCTGAGCGTTTCCTGAGTCATAGGAGTGTCGCATCTAGAAATAGAAAGGCTGGATAACTGAGCTCCTGTTGTGAGGGAGGACTCCTTATTCTTCCGACCTCACTGTCAAGAGCTGGAAGAGGCTGATCCATGACTCAACACAGATCACAACCAGGGGCTGGGGGGAGCACGGAGCACCTGGCCTCACGCACCTTCGGGCAGCAGAACCTACCCAGATAGATCCTCTCGTCCTCGTCGGTCACGTAGGTGTTTGCTCCCCAGATCACCATCTTGCTGATGTACGACGGGTACCTGGCCGCGGCGACGAGCGCGGTGATGCCACCGTCGCTCCACCCCAGCAGGGAGACCCTCTTGAACTTCAGCGCCTGTGACGGTACAGCGAGACATGGCAGGGTTATAGCACTCCTTCCTGGGGCCTGGGAGGCGGTGATGAGCAGAGTCGTGCGGGCTGGGTCCGGGGTAGCCTCAGGAATAACCGCACTGCTTGCCAACACAGCACAGCGCTCGCTCTCGCTTAGCTTTGGTACAAGGGGAACCATGGGGGGAACTTGAGTGCTGGGCACTGATGATGGTGAGGGAACCGCAGCTTCCACTTGGTGAAATGTCAAGGAGTAGCTCCGTGGCCATTACTAGCACCTGGACAGGAACATCGTGCACCTACACCTGTGTGCGTGCGCACGCCTGAACAGGGCTCCAGGAGCAAAGCATGCAGCTCAAGGGACTGCACATCTGACGGTGAAATGACACCAGGCATCCAGTGAAGCCACCGAGTGCAACTGCGGGAAGGAAGAGAACACCAACCTCGGGAAGCTGTGTAAGTCCCTGGGTGAATCCAGGGGGACCCGAGTGTGTCTGGCCAGGAAAACAGACAAAGGGGACATCAGTGAGATGCTGCCATGGAGAGAACTAAAATAAAAGTTAAAGAATTAGCTAACATATTGGGGACCGCAAATTTGCAAGAGCTAATTCTGCAGATTTCCCAGGGATAAATGGAGGCTTGGGATTACAGTATCGCCCTCCTGAGACTTCCCATTAACTCTTCTCTCCCACCCACTAAAATAACTAAAATGAGAAAGCACACCCCACAGTAAGCCCTTTTTTGTGTAAGATCATCTCTGTCCTCTTTGAGTTATTCCAGGATTATCTGCTGCCTGTGGTGTCATCGACCTCTGAATCTTCAGGACCTGGAACCTCCCACTAGCCCCTGCCAGCACTGTATACACCCACTGCACTGTCCACACCCAACAGACAGCGCTGGTTTAGAGTCACTGGGTCTTCGCCCGGCCTGAGGCACTGACCTCCCCGCCCCCATCATGCATTGCTGTATTTGTCTGTTTATTATTTATCCTTTGCTGTACCCTACATATAGGAAGTTGGGGACCTTGGCCAGGTCCCCAGGAAGATAGTACAATGTATTTGTTGTAGGCATTACACACTGGTGGAAGCACTATGGGTAATAGTTGTCTCTCGGTGAATATTTTCACCTTCTACAATACAACACGCCGTCTCCTAAGTTCATATGGAACTGTCACACACATGCACCGGGAGACAGGGTCAGCATGTCCACAGCAACACTGAAACAGCAAAAACACCAGAACTGAAGAGTCTGCAAGTAACAGAATGTCCACTGCCCTCCTGTGTGACAGGAGTCCCCTGGTGTCACCTTTCCAGAGAGAAAGAATCACAGAAATGAAGCCAAATAAATGAAGAGACACCCAGCCACCCTTCCCCTGAGCACTTCTGTAAGACCCACCTTCATCAAATCCACCGCATCTTTTGCATCTCTTTCAAAAAAGTCCAGTGGAAAATCTCGATCTGGGGGCCTGGAATGGCCGTATCCTCGGGGGTCCCAGGCAACCACTGTGAAGAGCTTCTTACTTAGGCTCTTAAGTTGAGGTGCAAAATCTGTCTCGCCACTTCCTGAAAACAGACATTTGGTTATTTTTTTTTTCTCTTGTCTTTTCTTTTTCTCTCTTTTCAGTCTTTTTTTGAGACAGGGTCTCACTATGCAGTCCAGGCTGGCCTTGAATTCACTTTGTAGCCAGGCTGGTCTCAAACTTGCCACCAGCCTCCTGCCTCAGCCTCCCAAGAGTGGGGATTACAGTTGTGCGCCACCATGCCTGGCTTGGTTAACTCTTGTGAATGCTTTCATTGTATCGAACACAGCAGAGTAAAACAAAAGCAGCAGTAATCTTAAAGTAATGTCTACCCAGAGGTGGCCATCAGAACTCAATCAGCAAAGCGTCCAGGTGGAAGACATTAACCTAAGACTCAGGCCTGTCTCCGATCGCCCCCTAGTGGTTACTTAAAAGAGGACGCGGTATTTGGGTCCCTTAGGTCTGTGTGTTTTCTCCATCATTCTATACCTCTGCAATTTAAATCTTCTACTTTTCATTTTTAAAGAATTAATGAAAATGTATAAATATAATTACCTATATGCTATGATTCTGGTTTTTTTTTTAAATAAATAACTTTCAAATGACAGAGATCCTAACTATCTATAAACAAATTTTTAGATTTGGTCCAAGTTACTCAAAAGGAGAATTTTAAAATTCCAGATTTTTTTTTTTAACTGAGCTAAGATTTTATTTTGTAGTTATGGGTACGTGAAATACACCAGTTCGTTTCATTACAATAATACAAAAGAGCCCACACTAACAAGCACAGCAGTGTTGAACCTCGGGCGGCCTTGGGCAGCAGTGTGCCCTGGCCACATGGTCACCCTAAGTGTGGTGTGGTCACCCCCACTGCGCAGTGTGGAAGGCTGCTTCCCAGAGCTAAGGCCAGGGGCAGGGGGGCACCATCCGGTAAAGTCCATTGCATTTCTGAGGCTGCAAATGAATACTGAATACCTTGCCTGATGAACTGAACTATACGAGATCAACCTATACAGTGATGTTTAAATTTTTAAATTATCATACTACAGGCATTGCCGCGGATCCCCCTCACGCTTTCCCTCGCTATTTTCAACACATCAATGCCAGTGTTCTGTGTTCAGTGTTCTGTGAAGCGATTGTGAAAGTCCTCCCTGAGTGTCCTTATGAGGGGTGGTGGAAAATACCATAAATGCTGCTACAAGTGCCAGCTGACAGACAGGCCGCCTAGTGAGATCATGAATGTGTCTTCAGCGACTTTACTCACAGGATCTGGCGCTGTGCAACCGCTGGTCCCTTCTCAGAGTCCAAATGATCACAGCTGGTAAATGCGTTAAATCCATTCAGCATACCAAGGCAGCTATCACAGCACAATTAAAGCCCTTCGCAAAGGAGGGCTCCCAGAACTGCTCCAGAAGGGGGCGAGGATGGCAAGTGCTCAGAGCAAAGGGCAATATTTTAAGGAGGATTCATGGCAATGTACCTTTTACTGTAACATATTTCTAGAGTCTAAATGTTTATGATGTTTTTCATCATAATATGTAGCTATAATAAAAAGTATCTTTCCAGATGATGGAGGGTCACTTGACATTATCAAGGTCCATCATTCTCCCTGCCAAGACATTTTTTTCTCAAGATCAGGTAAGTCATGCAAGAAATCCAACCCCAGAAGAAAACAATGGACTTCCAGCCTGTGTCTACTGGGGTTTCCTTGTGGCCTCCTGGAGGTTCTCCTGTGAGGAACAACCCTAAATGGGGGCAGGAGGCAGGGAGAAGGGGAAAGAGAGCAGGCTACAAGGCCAATTGCAGAAAGGATGGGATCTCTGCTTCCTGGCCCGAATGGAGACAGGTGCCAAGAACAGTAAAATCTTACCCAGTGCTTAAGGAGTACACAGAGTTACCAGGACATGATATCCAAGCTGCCCACGGAGGTGGGCCTATGTATCAGAGGACAGCACAGGAAGAAAGACAGTCACTGTTCTGTTTTGAAATCAAACAGTTCGTTCTACATGAACAAAAATTACAGTTTTTAAGATCCGATCAATGATTGCAATACCACAAGAATGGAAATCTAGTCTGGTAACTGTTTTTCCAGGTAACCTTGGCTTGACATCAGCTACTGGACTAAATGTTCTCTTCATTACCATAGCTTAAGAGAAAAAAAAGTATTAAGTACTCAATGGCACCACCTTAGCTGAGGCTGGGCCAAGTAAAACTATCAATGCACTGTGAGAACTGAAAACTTAGCTCTTTACTATTAGGAGAAAGCAGCAAATCACAAGGAAATGAATATATATTGTGATTATTTAAATAAAAAATAAAACAACCCTATACCCCTGGAAACCAAGTTTTGGATGCCCTGGCATCACTGTAGAGCTTCCTCTGAACTTCCTACACCTGCACTGATCTGTAAGCTGTTGAGAGCTGGTGGGCTCCACTAAAACCCCACACACCAAGAGCAATATGCTAGCTTCATTTTATCTCTCAAAGACTAAGTTTGTCTTCTTGCCTCTTATTTGAATGGAAAGTATCAACCATAACTGTGAACAACCCATCCTGATTTCAGCACTGCAAGTTTTACATCTGAGAAAATCCCTGCATGCCAGGCATGCTGGAGAGCTGTTCACCCCCTCACCTTCCTCCTGCAGATACTGGTATAGGCAGCTGAGTTAGTTAGAAATATCATAGGCAGTGAGACAGGGCAAGGTCCTCCGGGAGCCAGTGTAGAAGCCCAGATACCTTGCAACTATGGGGGAGACAGACACCTCCTGATGTGGGCCAGGCCTCCAGACAAACAATCAACAAATGCATCCATACCCTAAGGACTGATGTTCTAAATAGTTCCCTATCACCCTGAAGGGGTCAGGAGTCACCATTCCAACCTTCTAAGAAGACTTGCTGCTGAAAATGCCACCTTTCTAGGTGACTGGCTTCCTCATTTGTCCCTAATGTAATCAACTTTATTTGAACTATTAATCGTATTGGCTATCCATAGTTATGTATATATATATTTTTAATTGGTACTGGGGATTGAATTCGTGACCACAGCTTGCAAGGCAGGCATTTATGCTGCTGGGCTGAACCCCCAGCCCTTGACTAACTATAGTTATGTCCCACCTAATGCTCATCTGCCTTGTGAGTTCCCAGTTTTCCCCACCTTGAACTTGTCTCTCCCCATGATTTTACTCTATAAAAATCCCTCGAAAAGACAGAGTCCCTGGCAACCTGCTTGGGACCCCTTCTGTCACCTGCAGACAGAAGCTTTCTTTCTCTCAAAAAATATAGTCTACTCTTAACCTCCATTGTTTCTAAAATTTATTCAATTTTAGAGAACATGAATTCATACTGGAAATAGTAGGTCAGGAATTTCATTCCCCTGTATCAGTGCTCTTTCTTCCCCCTTGACCCCTGTCACCTTCCCAAAGTGCAGGCAGCCCTGGTTTTACGATGCACTCCCAGGAGAAAACCTGGATACTTATGGAAAAAGGGGCACACAACAAAAAGCTATTACTTTTCTAAAGCATTCAAATTTGACTGCAGCAAATATTCCTGAAAACATCCCACCAAATTAATAATCAATACTTGGCATCTACTGTGGCCGCATTATAGAGCATTCGAAAGAATATTCCATTAACAGGTGCAGACCCAGCATCCCTGGAAGCAGCAGGACGGCGTGCTCGCCCTCTCCGGTGCGCTGGTAATGCAGGTCAACACCATTCACAGCTACTTTGCCAGAGCTTACTGAGGTGCTGGAAAGAAAAAGAAAATTCCTAAAGTGAAATTGTTTGGCAAGCCAAGTTCACCAATTTAACATGACAAAACTACCTGGTACATGCTCCGGCACCCCTCGGGCTTCCTGAGCTATTCTGATGTGTACCTGTCTCCAACCCTAAACTACCATACTGAGTTTGCGTCCTTATCTGACTGCAAATCTGCTCCAGGTTTGAATCTGCTGCAGCGCCCAGCCTGAGGGTCATCTTACCAAAGCACCAAGGTCTTCTGGTCAGTGGCCAGAAACACATACCCAGAACACCAGCCTGGGGGCTGGAGCACCGAGCCTGGCGCTCTCTGTACCTCGGCAGGTCCACAGCATCCACCTGGGCCATCTGCAGCCCTGGGGGCACTGCTGAGGGTGAGATGGACCCAGGGGGCCCCAGGTGATCTCAGGCTCTTAGATGCAGTGCTTCCTGTGTTGGCTGCAGGAGGGGCTGTGGTCAGGGGCCATCTAATGGCCTTGCTGGTTAAGATGCAACACATATTCCTGTGGTGACTGTACAGTAGCCAGGTCCCTAACTCCTTCCACCAAGGGCCCTTCCAGGATCCAACACCTAGCAGGGCTCTGGGCAGCACAGGACAGGGCGTCGGTCCTACTGAGGGACATGTGTGCCAGCAGGGTTCCTGTTAACCTCTCCTCAGCTCTTCTTCCCGAAGCTCTAGAACAGAGTCCAGGGACTCAAACCACTAACAGCACCTCCCCATCAAATGCAGGCAGCTGACCAAGTGACTTGCACAAGGTACAAGGGGGCAGGGCAGGCCAGGCCAGATGTTGGAGGGAACCACTCCTCTACTAGAGTAGGTGGTCAGGAAGTTTATATCCATCACTAACTTCCTGTTTTATATTCTTCCCACCCTTACCACGGCCTTCAGTCAAAAGAATTACTCAAATGCAGTACATCTGAAAAAGCAAGGTCTTGTTTCCTCTTTGGTTTTGATTGGCCAACTTTAAATAAGGAAGGCAGGGGGGAAATGGGCTGAACAATGGTTCACTGAAGCTTAACATAAAATCTGGAAGTTTTAAGCTTTGGAACTTTGTAAGACACAGCATGAGCCCATCATCCACAAATACTATTCGAGGAGCAATAACAGACAATCAACTTATTATTGAATAACATCCTCTTCCTTGGAGAATTAATTTTTATTGTTAGGATGGCTGTAAATATCTTGGGATCAAGACAGAAGCAAATAAGTGGACTCTAAAGATTCATTCAACAAATACTTTATTGGTATGTTTATTATTGTTATTTTTTTGAGACAAGTGTCTTGCTTTGTAGTACAAGTTGGCCTAAAACTCATGGCAATCCTCCTGCCTCAGCCTCCCGACTGCTGGGATTACAAGGATGCAGATCACAGCCTGCCAGTGCATCTGCTTTGTTCATGAGCTGTGGGAGACACTATGAAAGCACACTGAATTGTTCTGAAAACTCAGGGAGGCGAAGGACCAGCTGAGGAAAAGACCTAAGGCAGTTGGATTAGGTGAAAGCCCTAACCTGCAGGATTGAGGATTGCGTTTACCAAGTTAAATGAGGTCACGTCTGCCTGGGCAGAGGTGACTGACATTAAGAGCTCATGTCGATACTGTGCCCTGGAGCCGCAGCAGTGTTGTAAACAGGCTTGTAGAAGTCACACTGCTCTCTGCTGGGTGAGGCGCTAGATAATGGGGGCCCTCCCCGATCTCTCTCAGAATGGGCACTGCCGCTTGGCATTGTCAGCCATCCCCCCGACCTGGTGCCCACCCCTCCAGTGCACCGGCTCCTACTGACACCTCCACTGGCTCCTGGGCTCACTGTCAGGTCCCTCCTGCAAAAGGCCTGACTTCTCCCAGTGCTCTGCTGTATCTGTGCTGATTTCCCATCCCGTATTTTTCTCGCTAGCCAATGCCTTCCCGGACTCTCTCGGTTGCCCACAAGGAATGCAGAGACAAAACTAGCAGTCCAAGGGCAGCGTAAGGGGAACTCAATGCCAGGGGCTTCAAAGGACAGACCACACCAGGGCTGGGTAGAGCATCTGGGAAGACAGCAAAAGCAGCTTTTGACATGAACTTCCAATGCTGGCTAACATTCTGAAAAAAGGGTGTGGTGGAGTTGGTATTTCTGGAAGATGAAATCGCACTACCCAAGGTCCAGGTGCAGGGGCAGCCTGGGGACAAGCCTGTGTTCAGCCCCGGGAGTGTGAAGGCAGGAGCGTGGCTGGGGCCCAACAGTGAAGGCTTTGGCAGTGAGGCCAGGAGGAAGAAAGTGCTTAGTCATCAGCCTCCTTCCAGTAGGTTGTCACCAGAGGTCCCTGCATATGGCTGGGGAACAGAGGCCGCCAAAACCCCTCTGTGAATCTCCAAGTGGGAGCCAAAGACAGAAGACTACTCATGAATAAAGGCTTATTTTCAAAGATAAAAAGTTTTTGAAGGCTGATTTATTTTCAAAGAAATGTAAAATAAATGAAAAAAGGCAGCACTTCAGCTAGACTTCCAGAGTTTTCTGAATGCAATCAAGTCAGGCCTCGACCAGGCTTCCAGGAACTTGGAAGTGCCCTTGGTACCTCAATCACATCTGAATCTGATGCCCAAGCTGTACTTACTCAAAAGTTCTGGGGCAGAAACCAGGCTTGTGTATTTGCTAATATCCTTACACAATCCAATAGGCAACTATGGTTGAGAATGACTACTAATATACTGGAAAAAACCAAAATTCTGTCTCACCATTCAAGCACACTATGCAACCCTGTTCCTGTTCTTGACTCCCTCTCTGGGAGGCTAGAATGGCCATTTGGTGTGAAGGTAGGCGGTAAGGAACAGTGCAACCATCCTGAGGGGGCCAAACTGTTTCCTTCAGAGAGGGACAGACTGCAGGCCGAGGGGACAAAGACAGAACAGCTCGGAGCCAATAATCAAACCAAGGGCAGCCTTTGTTCCTTTTGTGCCAGCACTCTGGTTGCTAAGTTTTACTGACCCATTTCACTCTGGTACACATTATGCTTAACCACACTTGACCACTGAGGAATCTGAGGATGGGTGGTTTCTACCAGTCACAATGCTAAGATGATCATCTGAGGGTCTGATCCCAGAGCCTCAGCCTCTGCACCCAAGACAAAAATGGGGCACCTTCTTAAGACCTCTCTCTTTCAAAATCCTGTCACTTACATCAGCTATCTCTTGTAAACTATTAGCTACAATAAAGTACTAGAACCATGAGGGCTTGAATTCAAGTGAACTGTGATGACTTTTTACCCCTTTAATGTATTGTATTCTTACTGCTTATTATTATTAAGACCTACTAAGTACATATGTAGCAGGTCTTTTGCACTGTTTCAAATCCTCAGGCTCAGAGAAAGTAAGCAACCTGTCCTCATTCACAGCTAAAAAGGAAGTAAGTTATTTGAACTCGGCCATGCTTTCTAATTTCACTGTGACAGCGTGCCTATCAGGGCTGTAGATGGGGTGGTGGCGAGGAGGGCAGAATGGGATCTGATACTTCCACAGAGCACCCAAGGCTGAACGTGAAAAATATTTTTCTTTGGTAGATCATTAGGCTCTGTAAATTACTAATACTATAATTGTACAGAACACACTACTTCAGGTAATAGACTTTTTGACCTAACCTAGGTATAAATCCCCTAGCAATTATGAAATAGGAAAAAGGTCAAAGTTTCAAACAGGCTTACAGACAAGTTTCTAGCATACAACTCAGCTATAGCTTAGATGCTGGCTGTTCTGAAACTTTTGTTTTGAGACAAGGGCTTGCTATATAGTTCCAGCTGACCTCAAACTCACTAGCCCAGTTAGCCCTCAAAGTGGTGGCCCTTTTCCTATCTCAGCCTCCCCACTGCTGGAGTGACAGGTATATGCTATTAGGTCTGGCTGAAACACTTAATAGGAATCTGTTTACCCACTTACATGGGGCTGCACTCTTGTTTCCAAAGGAGCTAATACCACTGCTTATTTTGTCAGATTACATGTCATACCAATTTGCAACCAAATTGGGAAAACAGCACCACAAAATCCAGAGGAAACTGTTTTTCAGAGATAGCTTAAGAAGTCTGTCTACAGTACCTGGAGAACATGGCCTTCAAACAGCAATCACCCTATCACAACTATGGTATTACACAATCACAGTTAACTGTATCTTAATCCCCTTCTGCAAACAGGAAACTGAATATCATGCTCAGGTTTCACTGCTGATTTATGAGGCTGCAGCCTCATAATTTTTTCTATCTGTATTGAAAATCTATTAACTCTAAAATAATATAGTTAAACCAAATATGAAACTGAATAACCAGTCAATTACATTATGAAAATTTAAATCTAGTCAGATTTGCCCTTTCTTCTCCCGAATTAAGTTCTCAAATCAGTTTCTACATTAGATCAAGTAAAGTTGTAAGCACCAGATACCTCTCTAGCACCGCCCCCGTCAAGCTGATCCAACTACAATTAATTGCATACATGCATTGTGTATGTGTCTATGTGTGCTTGTGCAAGCAAGCTTCAGGCTGCTCTGTTCACAATTTCTGCTCAGAATCTCTTGGGATCCATTCTCAAGACACCAGCTCAGAGATTAATTCGGCTTTGTTTTTTTTTAAATTTGGAAGGGGTAGGGAGAGGAAGAGAAAAATACAGATCCTGTGCATCTACATGCACCTTCGTCATAAACTGGTAGTGAAGTCTGGAGTCTTTAAGTTTCAGTTTCCCAAGGTGATTCTCCTGCACATTAAAGTTTGAGAACAACAAACAAAAATGAGCCTCAGGAGACATAGGAGTCGCGATTTAAGCGCGGCCTGCGCGACGAGAACCAACGGATGGCCTTCCGATGGAAGCGGCAGGAGTGATAGCTATCCTCTTCAAGAGTGGACAGACCGATAGGCTAAGCATTTGGGCTTGGGGCTCACAGGCGAGTCTGTGACCAACACCGAATATACCTCCCGGGCCTCTCCGTCTGCACGCGTCTCGGGCTGCTTGGGGTCCCGGCCGCCAGGCCGCGTCCACCGCCGCTCTTTTGCCGCCTGCCCTCAAGGGCCAGCGTCCCCCTCCAACGCCCACCGAAACGACGCTGGGGCTGCGAGGGGGAAGGGTGCTATTACCCAAACGCGGCCGCTGGCCCGGCTCGGGGAACAGGGATACTGGGCTTCAGGTGCGAGGAAAGTAGCCGCAGCCGCGAACCTACTCGGCAACCTACGGCGGCCGCCATGGTGCCTGGTCCCTCCGTAGCCAGGAATGCGCACGCGCGGGACCCTGCCCCTAGTCTCCTGAACCCTTCCCGAAGCCCCGCCCCAAAAGTCCCGCCCCCTCCACAAGTCCCGCCTCCACATCGGGCCTCGCCCTGGTTTGGCCCGCCCCTCCGGAAGTCCCGCCTCCATACTTCGCCCGGTCCTGTCCTCCGGGCAGTCCCTCTCAGGTGCGTGAGTGCTGAACTCCGTGTTATCTGTTAGTGTTAGCACTCGTTTCGAGGGTGGGTGTTCCAACTGGGGCTGTCCTTGCCCGTTGCCATGGTGGCCAAAGCCCTCGAGAGGCGAGGCCACCGAGCTTCGCCCTCACCTGGTTGATGTCCAGGCGCTTCCTCAAGCCACGGGGCGGTAAGTGAACCGCCCGCCCCGCCCGTGGCGGCAGGTGGGGATGATGTAGTCAGTAGTTTTCGCTTTGCAGCCTTTCTACCCACTAGACTGGTACCTGTCAAAACCCCCAGCGATTATTGTCTGTCAGGATGTGGAGAAACTGGAATTTTGTGCACCGTTGGGCATGTAAAAATAGCGCCCCTGCTGTTAAGTGATCTTGTTTCCCTAAAACACTGAATACAGAGTAATTGTAGGGCCTAGCAGTTCTGCTTTTGAGTATTATCTCCAAAAGAACCGAAATTTCTTCCTGATATTTGCCCGCCCGCGTGCATAGCAGTATGGTTCACAAGAGCCATGGGGTGGAGGAACCCTGCGGCTATCAGATGAAGAATGGATAAACAATTTGTGGTGCATCCATGTAGTGGAATATTATTCAGCCTAAAAAAGTAAGAAAATCCTGACACACGCTACATGGGTGAACCCTGGAAAGTTAGGCCAACTGAAATAAGCCAGGTGTATGTGGGGTCCCCACTGCAGTCATCAAGTTCAGAGACAGAAAGTGGAATTTTGGTTTCCAGGAACTGCCTGTGAGCAGATTGGAAAATTAGTTTTCAATAGATACCATTTCAGTTTTGTAAGCTGAAAAGAATTCTGCAAATGGGTGGTGGTGATGACTGCCTGGCAGTGTGAATGTACTTAATGTCACAGTTAAGGGTTAAGATGGTAATTTATATATGTTTTACGACTTTTTTCCTTTTCTTTTTATACTGGGGATCAAACTCACAACCTTGTGCTTGTCAGGCAGGAGCTGTGCTATTGAGCTATATCCTCAGCCAATTTTGTGACCTTTTAAAAGGCTGTATGGTTTAAGCTTTCTGAAGGTTATAAATGTAGAGGGGAAAAGAAAAAACAGTATCCTATTAAGTCAGACTCATCCTGCCCTATCTTAGCTGAAAATAACAGGCAGATTTGTGGTTCAAATGATTCAAGAGAACAGCTTCTTGCATCTTGTGTTATTTTCCCCTCTAAGCGGCCTTCTGGTCTGCACTTGTGCACAGTGTTTTTAAATGTTACGCACGTGGGAAGTTTCATTGACCTGGAGAGTCCTTACTGGTTCACTGGAGTTTTTGTAGTAGTAAAGGCAGAGAAGGACTAAAGAAAATATTCAAAATGTTAAGTTCTACTTTCAAGATCTAGCCCATCAACTCCTGCATAGAAAGAGAAGCATGTTTTGAGGTGGCTTTTTAAAAATTTAGTATGAGTTTGCCAACTTGATGTTCACATTCACTGTGTGGTCTTGGTGGAGGCACACAACACATCCCAATTCCCTTTATCTATCCTCTTTCCCCTCACCCCGTCATCTCCTTCTCTCCTGAGAAAGAGCCATCTTCCCATCTCCCATTCCCCATTCCCCGTTTTGCTCTCTGTTTATCATTTGGGTTTGTTTTTAAAAACTATTGTTGAATGGTATTTTTTTCTAATTTCTTTCTCACTGGGTTTCTCACGGGTATAGCAGAGAAAGCACATGATAGTAAAGGTTGTATGATTTATTTTACTTAACATTATGGTCTGAAGTGTACCCATTTCTACACGTGACTCAAATTTATCTTTTGTTATGGCAGAGTAGTACTCCCTTGTGTGTAAATACCACATTTTCTTTATCCATTCATCTATTGATGGACTTGTCGGCTACTTCTAAGATTTAGCTGTTATGAATTGTGCTGCTGTACATATGGATATGCATGTATCACTGTCTTTAACTCTTTCAGAAAGATACCCAGAAGGGGAGTAGCTGGGTCAAATGGTTTTAGTTTTTTGAGGAATCTCCACACTGATTTCCATACTGGTTGTACTAGCTTACATTTGTAACAACAACACAGAAGGGTTTCCCTTTTCCCCGCAGCCTCTCCAGCATGTGTATTATTTGATTTCTTGATGATGGCTTTTCTTTCTGGAGTTGGAGGGAATCTCAGTGTTGTATGATTTGTATTTCTTGAATGGCCATCAACATTTAGCATTTCTTCATGTATTTGTTGTATTATTGGCCATTTGTACTTCCGTGAAGTGTTCAAATCATTTCAGCTGCCCGTTTTTTGATTTGGTCTTTTTAGTGAGGTCTGTTTTTTTGAGTCCTTTATTCCAGATATAAGCTGGCATTTTTTATTTCCTAACCTGTAGGTTTTCTTTTCTGTTGATCATTTCTTTTGCTGTGTAGATGCTCTTTAACTTGATGCAATCCAGTTTGCTAATTCTCGGCACTACTCAGAAAGCCTACTGCTGTGGCTTCAAGAGTCTTAACTATTTTATCTTCCAGCAGGATAGTGTTTCTGTTTTAAAATTTAGTTCTTTAATCCATTTTGATTTTAAATAGTACATGGTGAGAGATAAGGGGTATACATTCAGGGTTCTGCATATGGACAGACAGTTTTCCCACTATTTATTAAACAAGTTGTCTTTACTCATTGTAAACTTTTGGCCCTTTTATCAAAAATTAGACAGTCAAAGCCTGCTGTGGTGATGTATGCCTATAATCCCAGCACCTAGGAGGCAGAGGCAGGAGGATCCCTAAATTCCTGGCCAGCCTACGCTATGTAAGTTAGAAGCCAGCCTGAAGTACATAGTGAGATCCTATATCAAAACAACAACAAAATATCAAGTAGTCAAACATGCCTGTGGTTCTTTCTAGATCCTTTATTTTTTCCCACTGACTTTCATGTCTGTTTTTGTGGTAGTACCATGCTGTCTTTACCACTGTAGCTTGTACTATAGCCTCAAGTCTGAGATTGTGATGCCTACTGCCTTGGTCTTGTTATGTGTGATTGCTGTTGCTATTCTGAGTCTCTTCTGGTTCCATATGAATTTTAACAATGTTGTCATCAGTTTTGTGAGGAATACTGTTGGTATTTTGATTGGGATTGCATTAAATCTGTATCAGTTTTGGAAGTATGGCCATTTTGACTATACTAATTCTGCCTATCCAAGAATAGGGGATATATTTCCATTTTCTGACCTCCTCTTTGATTTTTTTTTTTAGCATACTAATCTTTTCATTGTAAAAGTCTTTCACATCTTTAGTTACATTAATTCTGAGTATTTAATTTTTCTTGGTGCCATTGTGAATGGTATTTTTTCCTAATTTTTCTCACTGGGTTATTAGTATAAAAGAACACTTGAGTTTTGTGTGTTGATTTTGTATGTTGCTATGTTACTGAACTTGGTTATTGATTGTGAAGAGTATTTTGACATTTTAGGGAGTCTTCTATGTAGAGGATCACGTCATCTGCAAATAATGTTAATTTCATTTCATCTTTTCCTATGTATAGCCCTGCTGTTTTTTTTTTTTTTTTTCTCCTTGCTTAACTGCTTTCTGAGTACTACATTCAACAGGAGTGCTGATAGTGGATAGCCTTGTCTTGTTCCTGGTTTTAGAGGGAAAGCTTTCAGTTATCCCCCATTAAATATGATGGCAGTAGGTTTGTCATGAGTGGCATTTATCAGATTGAGACAAGGTCCTTTTATACCTACATTCTTTCTTCTACAGCATGAAAGGATGTCAGATTTTTTCAAGGACTTTTTTCTGTCTGTTGAAACGATCATGTGATTTTTGTCCTTGCTTCTGCTTGAGTGATGTATTACATGTATTAATTTGAGCATGCAGAGCTATCCTTGCATCCCAGAATTTAAACCTACTTGGTCATGATCTTTTAAACCTACTTGGTATGATCTTTTTGATGATTTGTTGCATTCCAGTTGCTAGTACCTTGTTGAGGATTTTTTCATCTGCACTTATAGAGAGCCTTTCCCTGTCCTCATCACAGTCCAGGAAGTTTGTATTTGTAACCCCATTGGAAAAGTTACTAGAATTCCAGGAGGTTGATCCCAATACCACTTCCAGTGTATCCCATGGTAAGAATAAAGACACGCATATTTATAATTATAGGGAGCCAAGGGATCCTAAGTCCAGCCAGGATGAAGGTTCATCAGAACAAAGGCCTCAGCCTACAGCCCAACCCAGATTTTATTAATTCGTGAAGAAGGGAGTGACCTGTGGATAAGCGACTGTGAGAGTGGTGGGGATTATGTGAGTGATGTGAGCTGCGCCAGCTGGGAGGCCTGGGAGCTCCTCTGCAATATGCAGAGAGAAGGGTGTGCAGAAAGGCCAATCTGCATAATACATTGAGGTAGCATTCAATGTTCAGGGGGCAGTGCCTCAGTTCTGATGTGTAAACCTTTTCTGCCCTGGGAAGTCATAGCCGCTTATCTTGAGGCTTAGACCCAGTTGACAGTCCTGGAGCTGTGTGGCTCGGTCATTCTGCTGGGTTCAACCATTTAGAGGGAGACACTGAGACAGGGAACCAGGACTGTTGCCTGGCTTCAAGGATTACACATTAGTACCCCAGCTAACCCAGGTTACATTGCTTAGAGCCAATTGAAGGGAAAAGCAAATAGCTTAGCCAACTCTGTACATATCAGAACATGGAGACATGACCAGGTTTGGCCAAAGTGGAGGTAAATGCTCTTTGTTCAAGGAGAGTTGTCCTGGTGTTCTTCCAAATGCACTCATTAAAGAGATTGGTCAGTAGTGCACTTTACTGTTTGGCCCTTGTCTGATTTGGCCCTTGTCTGCTTTTGAACAGGGCTGTGCAAGTTTAGTAGAATTCAGCAGTGAATCCATCTGGACATGGGCTTGTCTTATTGGCAGGCTTTTCTTTTTATTGCTTCAATTTTCATTGCCTGTTACTGGATTATTCAGGGCTTTCAAAGCTTCTTGGTTCAGTTTTGGTAATTCGTATGTATCTAAGAATCTGTCCATTTTTTCTGTATTCTATTTATTTAGTTAGTTATTTTTGTCTTTTTGAAACAAACCCGGTCTTACTATGCAGTTCAGGCTGGCCTTGAGCCCACTTTGTAGCCCAGGCTGGTCTTGAACTTGCAATGATTCCCTTGCCTCAGCCTCCCGAGAGCTGCGATTACAGGCGTGCACCACCACACCTGGCTTATTCCCTAATAGACTGGCATACAAATTCAAGAAGTACAATAAATCTCCAACTTTATTTGAGTTCTGTTTTGGGAGAACATTTCTAAGTTGGATTCATGGTAAGTCTAACAAAGTGAGTCTTACGTTGTATTTCCACTTTCATTTCGTGGTTATTGCTCTGCATTTCCTGGCAGTACCCTCCCTCCTCTCCACATCCCACTGTTTTTCCTCTTGCTTACAGTTATAATGGGTCCCAACTGAGCAATGCACTACTGTACACTATTACACTGTAAACACTCAGCAGCACAGCAGTGCCAGTGTCCCGCAGATACACGAGCTACTTCGCAGTTTGTTTACAAGTGTTCAGAATGTGAGGTCCCTTCCTATCTCAAAGTTTGCAATTTAAATATTTGTAAACTGAGAACTTACTTTAGTTGACTGTGGTGGTAGTGCCTCAACACCAGCTGCAGGATGAATGGGGAGCATGAGCAGGAAATACCAACCTGCACAGTAAGAGTCACCGTGGAAGCCCATACTATTTCATTTATACAAACATCATTTCAACAGCCATAGGTAAAGCATAAAGTTTTATTTTTAAAAAATCCATGTGAAGCATAAAATATATATATTTTTTTAAAAACACAGAGAATTTAGAACAGTATCATGATAGAAGGTATTTAGAAATCACCAGACTTTTCTGGCACAGGCTGGGCCCTTCCCTGCTTTAAGGTTCCTTTCTGGCTGTGTGCTTTAATGCTGTGTGGCAACTGAGCTGTGAGCTGAGACACGTGGAGGAGAACAACTGAGGCTCACTCTCTGACAGCAGTGTTTGTATCAGCCAGACAAGTGTATATATCCAAGCAGTACTGCATACAGCACTGTCTGGAGACATCTTTGGCACACTTGGGGGCAGGAGGGGAAGACAGAGTTGTCTTCTGGCAGACAAGAGTAGGTGGGACCAATAATGCTCACAAAACTAAAAGGTTCAGGACAGCACCCACAACAGAGTTATGTGGCTTACATTGCCGGTAGTGCCCAAGTAGAGAAACTCTGTTTTGAGGCCCCACTTCAGGTGTGTGTGCCTTTGCATGTGCGTGCAGGCTGAGGCTGCAAGAGATTCAGAAGCAGAGCTAACAATACTGTTACCACCCCAGACCCCAGCATCTCCTCTGAGAGCCAGGCCGACCCTCCCTGTGCCTTGTCTCCCTTCCTTGTGGGAGAGCTAAGTGCTGTGGGTATGATCTGTGTGGTCTTCAGCCTTCTATTCTTTTAGTTCCTCCCTGAGATTCAGATGGGCCTTAGAGACAGTAACCAGACTAAAGCTGTCATTTTTTACTTCGTGGCACGAAGGGGAAAACTGGACATATTCCTACCGTACAGTAGGGTAAACTGATGGATGGAGCAGCTCTCCGCGGCTCTGCATTGCCCAGGGTGCAGCCGTGACTGCTTCCGGCACATGTGCTCCCCCTTTCAGGACACATGGGCTTAAAGTACTAACCAGCATAAAGTATTAGAATTGTTAGTATTAGAAGTACTCGTTATTTGAAGTATAAGTACTATAAAAGAACAAAACAAATTCATCAGGAAATTTAGCTAATAGTCACTATTACTTGCAGGTCCTTGTAACAACTGCCAGGAAAACCTGACTTTTCCCTGTGTATGTTTTTTTCCTTAAACTGCTTATTAAAGTGGCTTCAGTTAATGTATAATTTAACATAATAGAATGTGATAGCACATAAGTATTAAAGCCTGTAGTGACTGCTAGAATATTCGATGCGAAGTTAACAGGTCCTATAATTTGGGATAAGCTGTGCTTGTCATTACAAGAAAACATTTGACCAGAATTTAGAATTTTACTACACTTTGCTTATAAGAGAATCTACATGAGAACACAAAGAAAGTTGATGTATTTTACATTCACTTTCTTTGTCTCACTCAGCCCGAACCCCAGGAAACTGAATGGACAGCATATCTGAAGGTTATGGCAGGAGCTGAAGGAAAATGATGTTGTTGTTTTTTTTTAAATACCTCTTTTCTTCCTTTAAAAGCCCATGTTTTATACTGATCCTGGACCATCATGAGATCTTCCAGCTTGCATCTTCCTGAAAGTAGGTTGTTGGCTACTGATTTCCTGTTCTCTAGCTCTGAAATGCAGGAAATTGTCTATAAGCCGTGATAAAACCCATATCAATGAGGACAGAATTCTGAGTGCTTCCAGGGGTTCTTGACCAAAGTGAGGCGCTTGCTTCATGCTGCCAGGCTCCTGCAGGGTTAGTTCTTGCTGATGTCTATCAAGTGGTTCAGAAGGTCCTTCCTGGAACACTGGTAGAGGGCTCGGGCAAGCTTGCCCACTGTGGCCCCCTTATTGCCTTCCCTCATCTCCCACTTTTGGAGCATCTTGTAAACCTTTTCGTGTAGTCCATCTCGCTCATAGTCATGGTCAATTTCATCAATCTGAGACTCTGTGATGCCCAGCTTACGGGCACAGGTTTTCCACTGCTTCCCCAGGTTTTCCCTGACTGGGTTCAGGTGAATATCAGTCACACTAGTGGTATTATCTGACAAAGGGAAAAGAGAAGACGGTGTCAGGCCTTACTCTTTAAATGTTCCAGTTTCCTGGATTACTAAAAATCCTGAGTAAAGTGGACAGCATGAGGAGGCAGCAAAAAAGATAACTTTACACTTATATAGAGTTGTTGATTAATTGGGTAATAAGTTGACCGTCTCAAGGCCCATATGGAATCATGATGTGTCCTACAACAGGATGCCCCTTCCTCCTGCAAACATGCCGAGACACCACTGATGGCTTTGTTAACAAAACCCAGATATGGTTACTAAGTTGGTTTCAAGTCAAGGGGACTAGTTTATGGTATTCAGTGGACTAGTTTATGGTAAAGCTTCCCCAGGGAGAAAAACAAGTACCAGTGACGTCCTTGGCACATTTTCCACCTCTATCTTGCTAGGCTAAATGTCACCCAGCTCCACAATTCACATTACTCTTAAGGACGCTGACACCATCAAGCGTGAAATTCATTCAGCTCTGACTCCTTTCTTTCATCTCTCACGGGATGAGGTGTCCATACACTTTGAGGTCCATTTATAGATTTATCTCTGCCCTTACTTCCCCCTCCTGCACTTAAACTACTGTTACTTCTTCTCCTATAGCCATAATCTCTATTTCTGTTGGTTCTGTCCCTTAGCCTTTCATAAAATAATAAAGGAAACAAAAATGTAAAACAGCCACCACATATAAATCCTTGACCCATCCTATCTCAGTAAGCTAAATATGAAGACATCTCATTTTTTCCTTCAACTTCCATTCTTTCCTCGGAGTATCACAGTGTGGTTTCTACTACCACTGCTGAATGTCACAGTCCAAGAACCCCTCAGACATCTGCAAATTTTGTGAGGTTCTTTAGATTTAGATAAGTCTTGGATTTCGTAAAGTTCTCAAAGGTACTGTTGGTTCCTCAAAAGTTAAGAATCTCTGTTCTAGGTATGTTAAGGCTATTCTTAAGATGCATTAGATTAGCGGTTGGCAAACTGTAACTTAGGTGCTAGACTGACCCACGGCTGATTTTTATAAATTCAGTTTTACCAGAACACTGTTACGTTTTTCCATGGACATACCATTACTTTTATATTACAGGGTCAGGGCTGAGGAGTTTGAAAAGAGACCTCGGGGCAGGTGCTAACACATTTATCATCTGCTACTTGCCAACCTCAAAACTGCCTAAGAAAGCAGGTTCTTAATCACATCTTAATCACTGCTTTTCCCAGTCTGTGTCTCAGAATTAATGTTATGGGGATACACAGAGGAACTGTGGAACTCAACAGGAGAGAGCCCACTGTTGAGAGCACAGTCTTCTTGACAGCCTTCCCTTTAATGGGAAGCAGTGGGAGCTACTTCTTCCAGGTCTTAGTAGTAACACTGAGATGGAAGCGTAATACTTTCCTAAGTCTTACATGGCAAGCCATGTACTACACTCTTTACACCTGGCTGATTTAATTGTCACAACAAAGCCATGAATGAAACACTGTAATTATCCCCATATTAAAAATAATTTACTAAAAATTTATATTGAAATTAGAGAGGAAAAATGGTATGTCACCAGAAAAGTTTTAAGATTTCTACTATATCTCACTCAACAAATAAGAACATTTAAGGGTGCTATACACATTAGATCTTATTTTATTTTTGTGGTGCTAGGGATTGAACTCATGCACACTCAGCATGTGTTCTGCCATTGAGCCCTACCCCCAGCCCCAAACCTGGGTCCTTAACATATTCTTGCTCACTTGAACCACTGGTGGTATTTGTGTGTCCTTCCATCAAGCAGCTTGTACGTGACTTTTGCACAAGGCAGCTTGGACCACCAGTGGTTCATAGCCACCCAACAGTAAGAACATGAATTACGGCCCCATCATGAATATGTCAGAATACATCTTACCAAAGATAGCTTGGTACTTAGAAGCTGACTCCTCTTCCACATTTGTACATGTGTTTTCTAGTGGTGCATTCATTCCACTAATTTCCATATAATTAGAGGTTCCAAACTGGATACCAGTACTGTTGCTTATGTTTATGTGGGATCTTAAAAGCTCATCTGAATAGACAGAAACACACAAGTAATTATACCAAGATCAAAAGCAGGAGAAAGAAATCCAGTGTGAAAAAGGATTTACTCTACATATTTAAGCTAATTATCCTGTGCTACCCTTAACATTTTCTTTTTTAAAATGTACGTACCTCCCATCCATTGGGATGACTACCATTAATAATGTTGGCAAGAATGTGGAGAAAATGCAACCCTTGTACAATGCTGGTGGAAAAATGAAGTGGTGCAGCCGTAGTGGAAAACAGTATGGAGTTTCCTCAAAAAATTAAAAGTAGCTGGGTGTGGTGGCATACATCTGTATTTCCAGCACTCTGGAGGCTGAGGCAGGAGGGACTGTTGTGAGTTTGAGGCCAGCATAGGCTACATAGCAATTCCCTGTCTTAAAAAAAAAATTAAAAGTAGAAATACTGTACTATCCAGTAATTTCATTGCTGGGTATATGCTCCAAAAGATTTGAATGGAGAGCCAGGTGTGGTGATTCTATAATCCCAGCACTTGGGAGGCTGAGGCAAGAGAATCATTTGTAAGTTCGAGACCATCCTGAGCTACAAAATGAGCCCAAGGCCAGCCGGAACTGCATAGTGAGACCCTGACTCAAAAAGACAAAGTAAGTAAGTAAATGAATAATAAGAATTGAATGGAGGAATATGTTTACATCCAGCAGCATTATTCACAGTAGCTGGAAGGTGTCCATCAGCACATGCATGGTGGCATAAACATAAAAGAGATTCTTAACCCTAAGAAGGAAATTCTAGTATATGCCATAATGTCCATGAACCCTAAGGGCAGTTGCTAAGTAGGTCAGTCAGAAAAGGACAAATACGATGCCTCCACCTACAGGAGGTAAGTAGAACAGTCCAAGTCACAGGGCCAGAAAGTGAAATGGTGCTGCCAGGGGTGGGGGGTGGGGGACAGTGGAGGGTTAGTTTTTTAGGGACAGAGTTACTTTCAGTTTGGGAAGACAAAGGTAACAAAAGGACAATGCACTCATGGTCACATACAGTGTAGATCCTGCTTGACCCTTTTCTAGTATTTGGTATCCCATAGGGTTTGCAGCAATCCTTATGGGAAAAATCCAGAGTGCTCTTAGGAAGTTTCGGGAGAATTTTGTCTTTTCAAAAGAAAATGTGACAAAGTTCTGTGGTTTTGGTTTTATGCTATGTTGGGGTTGCAGTTCAGGGACTCATGTTAGTTAGGTGCTCTGCCACTGAACTATATCCCCAGCCCAGAAAACTCCATGGTTTTCATCTGCCCATACTAATTTCAGGAGTCCCAGGCACAGCATGAGAAGTGTTAATAGATGACAGTTAACATGGTGTTGGTAAGGGTTGTGTGGTAACCATCTGGATGTTTAGTTAACTCATTTGTATAGAATATCAGTAACTGTGAGAAGCTAGCTTTCATTCTATCTGATAGGAATGTGGAAATTTTTTTTAATTTTTAAATTTTTATTTTTCTTTTTTATTTTAGGAACATGGAAATTGAAAGAAAAATTTTCAACACAAAAGGTAGTCTTTGGTTTACATAAGAAAGATTTCCAAGACTTATGTCTTACCGTTAGAAAACAGTGAGCAAAATAAAAGTATGAGCAAGTATCTGCCCATTTACTGGAACCAAGATATAGTGGCTGGGACTACTCTGCCATTTGGGTTATTGTAGAAGACACTTGCCAGTTACGAGGACTCGGCTAACACCCGTGGGCAGCTGGGATGAGCCCTAAGCAAAACAAACATTCCCAGCCCAAGTGGTCTGATGAGACAGACCATCCTGCCGTGACAAGTTGCATCCAGTAACTGAAGAGGAAACAGCCCACTTTTCGTTGTCAGCAGTGATTTGCAGTAAACAACAGATATAATAGCTGATTTGTTTTCAGAAAAAAATAAAAAACCAGGAGATTGTAACTTAAACATTTACCTGGGGGCATCCAGGAGTACAGTGGAAGGGTGGGCGTGCTTCCTGCCAGACTGGTCTCAGGCATTGGAGGTGTAAACGGATTGGGCATTTGGTTCAGATGTGAACCAAACCAAACTGTACTTGGTATTCCTGGGTCCAATGGTCTTGCTCCAAACCTGTGCACATGATAGGATTCACTGCTCCAGCAGGGTACGTGGGGTTGGCTGCTCAGGCCTGTTGGCTGGTGACTTGCATTACTATAGTTAGCTGCACTGGGATAAGCAGGACCTTTTACCCGAGTGTTCTGAGCACTCTCATTAGGTCTTGGCTGTGCAAAGGGGTCATGAGAGACCCTTCGTCTCCTCTCCTCCTCTATATTATAAGCCATGTGCTGAGTGGACTGCTGTTTGGTCTGCTTGTCTATACGGCTGCCAAATAAATGATAGTTGGCTTCCTCTTGGAGTTTATGCTGCAGAATGGGCTCATACTCTTCTTGTTGGCGTTCCATGGAGGCAGAAAAATAGGACTCCTCCACAGGTCCCGTCCCGAGTGGCTGGGAACTATGCAGCGAGCCGGGCTGTTCTGCAGCAGAGAAGAAATGATCAGTGTGAGTTTGGTGAAACATTAAAAAGTGAAATAGAATCCATGCATCATCATGAATTTATCCTTCAAATTAACGTTCTGAAAACAGGAGAGAAAAGTAAAAGGCACTTAGTGTGTGTTCCTCTTCTTGGGAGTTTTGCAGATAATCGGTAAGAGCTCTTGGCTAGCAGGGAAGAGCCTGAGGGAGATCAGAACAGGCAAGGGGGTGCCAGGGAGGACTATGGAAGAGGGACCTGGCCTTCAGCAGAGAAAGTGACTGTCATCTTGGAATGGTCGAGGGAGGGAGAATAGCAGTAGCCTATATGGGAGTAGGAGCAGTTATTTTCACAATTTGATGGATGAGGTTTTGGTGAAGTTAAATAGTTTGTGCCACAGCAGACCGAAGTGGCCTCAGTATCCTATACTTTGCTTTCCCTCTGTCATAATGAAAAAAGTATCTCTGCTTGAACTGGAGACCAAACTCTCTGCTTGTGCCCTGAATCGTGTCAACTCCGACCTCCTCAGGGACTCCATCCCAACAAATAAACCTCATCTTTCTCCTCAACCATGGCTTTCTTCCCATCCAACATGAGGCCTCTTGTGTTCAAGACACTAGGATTTTGGTGAGCATACTGCGGTAGATTGACAACTGATGGTCACCTTGTAACACCAGCTGAACTGAATCAGCTTGGCGCTGAGCATGGCAGGATTATTGCCAAGATAAAAAAAGAGACCTGGAGAGGAACAATTTGGAGCTGTTGGTTCTTTTGGGGCTGTTGAGTCTCCTGGAGGAGCTTGTCATCTGGCTTCCCTGATATGTACTCGACTATTATCATCGGAGGAGCTCAGGACCTTGTCCCTGAAAGGCACTGTGTTCACTTTGGAGGAGCTTTGGTCCTTACTTTGAGCATCACTTCCTGGCTCTGGGAGGAAGATGTGTGATGTTCAATCTCCAGAAGCTCGTCACACTGGCTTCCTGATACTCCGTTGTTCTCATCACTGAAGGATCTTAGGACCTTGTTGTCACTGAGGCTGGCTGTGGTACTTTTCGGATAAGCCCTGGTCCTTATTTTGAGCGTCACTTCTTGGCTCTAGGACAGAACCTTTAGCCTGCTAGCACAGATCCTTCACTCCGCTGGCAGACTTTCTGGCTTCTACTGCTGACCTTTGGGCCTTCCCAGCACAGATCAGTGAAATAGATTTGCATGAGTTCATTGTCTTTGGCTCCAGGCCTCCAGTTGGACTCGTGGGAGGCACTGTCATGACCTCTAGGTCTTCAACCCTGGACTCATGCAGGACACTGCTGTGGGATCCAGGCCCTCAGCTGGATTTCTTGGGTCTTAATGTGTGGACATATTTTCTGCATTTCTTGTGTTTAACTCTTTGGGTAACTATTACAAAATAATTGTGCAAATTATGTGTCCTGTATTGTCTTGTTCTTGTAGTCCCTAACTACAACACACACTAATATTGTAAAACTATGTAACTGGACATCTAAATATACTTGAAGTTCCTTTAAGACAGGTGTTCAATTTTATAGTTTGTTCTGTTTCCCATATGATTTTGAGTAGTTTTCTGTTTTTTTTTTTAAGTTTTTTTGAGGCAAGGTCTCTCTTGCTATGTAATTCAGGTTGGCCTTGAATTCACCATGTAGCCCAGACTACCCTTGAACTTGTGATCTTCCTGCCTCAGCCTCCCAAGTCCTGAGACTACAGGTATGCATCACCCTGCCTGACTCTTGAGTAGTGTTTTAGAGAACAGAATGAATGAATGAGCAAATAAAGAAATTTGAACTGTGGAGTCAGTTACCTGAATTTGACCTGCTTAGAGGTTCTGGTACACAATCCAGTTGGAGAGACTGCGCTCTCATTAAAGCTTCATTCTTCGTGGGATACTTTTTCTGTAATTAAGAGCACAAATATACACTTTAGTAAACAGCAGGAAATAATCAGTCCCTGCATGTTATGTGTCATTTGGTGAAGAATGACAGGATACTATGTTCATACATGTAGCATCTTGAATATTGCTTTTTTACTTTAAGTATGAGAAACTTTTTTGTGTTCAAATTTTGTAAAAGTTAATTTTCTGTTTATAATTGCATGTTTAAATAAAGAAAATCCTTGTGAAAACTTCAGGCAGAGTGGAATCACACTGAGAAATACCTGAGTGTCAGGCCCTCCACCCCCACCTCCCTGCTCCCTACCAGTGCCCTCAGCTGATACAATTTAGGTATATACAATGATCACATTCATCACAGGGATTTGTACCTGCCCATGATACACCTTGATTGTCCCCCCCCCATCTACTGTCATGCTTTCTTCCCCTCATTTACAAAGCCTTTGTTTCTGTTTTATCCTTTTCTCATTTTATCCTTCCTCCTTTCCCCCCCTCCCTCTTCCTAGTTCCTCTTTTCTTTTGAACAGTTTCTTCCCATTTCAGTGTATCTCTTGGTTCTTATTTACACTTTCAGTTTCTCACATCAGGATGTGTATCCAATTTATTTCACTTAAAGAGTATCATCTCGGGCTGGGGACTTAGCTCAGCGGCATAAGCACCTGCTTTGCAAGCGCATGGTCGTGAGTTCAATCCCTGGTACCAATTAAAAAAAGAAAAAAAAAGTATCATCTTAAGGTCCATCCATTTAGCCATAAATGTCTGAAGTTTATCCTACTTTATGGCAGAGTAGCACTCCATTGTATTAAAAAACCAAATCTTTTTTTATCCATTCATCGGTTGATGGGCATTTGGGTTGTTTCCCAGATTTAGCTATTATTATAAACTGCTATAAAAAACAAGCACCCATATTTGCTGTGGTATGATGCTTTTTAATTATTTTGGAAAAATATCAAGAAGAACAATAGCTGGGTTGAATAGCACCTTTAATCCTAGTTTTTCAGGAATCTCCACAGTGATTTCCACAGTGGTTGCCACCAGCCTACACTCCCACCAATGGTGGAAAAGGGTTCCTTTTTCCTCCACAGCCCCTCCAGCGTTTGTTATTGGTTGATTTCTTGATGGTAGCCATTTCTTCTGCAGAGGAAATCTCATGGTTGTTTTATTTTGCATCTCTTTAATGACTGGTGATGTTGAACATTTTTCATATATCTATTTGCTATTTGTACTCTTCATCTGAGAAGTGTGTATTCATCTCAGATGCCAGTTTTTGAATTTAGGTTTTTTGAATCTAATTTTTTCCGTTCTTTATTTGTTCTAGATATTAGTCGTTTGTCTGAGGAGTAATGGACTAAAATTTTTTCCTCTCTGTGGATTGACTTTTTTAATGTTGGTGACTTCTTTTGCTTTGCAAAAGCTTTTAATGAGATGAGATCCCAGTTGTTGATTCTTTGTAGTATTTCCTGTGTCATCTGGTTTTGTTCATGAAGTCTCTGCCTATACCTATGTCTATAAGAGTTTTATTTTTCCTTCCAGTAGATTTAGCATTTCTATTTTAATATTTAGATCTCTGATACACTTTGGTTTTAGTTTAGTGCACAGTGGTAGACATGGGTCTAGTTTTAGTCTTCAGCATATGGAAAGCCAGTTTTTCTGGCACCACTTATTAAAGAGATTGTTTTTCTTCCAGTAAACGTATTTGGCCCCTTTGTCAAAGATAAGGTGGCTGAGTGGGATAGGAGTTGTACCTGCATCTTCTAATATGCTCCATTGAGCCTTGGTCTGTATTTTTGCCATAGGTTAAATTATCATTATTTACAGATGACATAACATACTACATAGAAGACCCCAAAAATTCCACCAGAGACTTGTAGATTTAATAACCAAATTCAGTCACATAGCTGCATACAAAGTCAACATTCAAAAATCAATAGCATTTCTGTACACAATAACAAACTGAGGGAGAAATTAGAGAAACAATACCTTTCATAATAGCATTAAAAAATGAAACGCTTATGAATCAATCTAAAAAAGAAAAAGATCTCTACACTGGAAACTGCTTGTACGCTGAAAAAGGGGACTGAAGAGGCTATCAGAAAACGGAGAGAATCCCTTGTCATGGATAGGAAGAAGCAATGTAGTAAAAATGGCTGTCCTAAAATTGTTACACAGATTTAGTGCAGTCTGACCAGAATACCACTAATGTACCTCACAGAATTACAGAAAACAATCCTAAAATTCATTTGGGACCAGAAGGACCTAAAATAGCAAAAGCAATTCTGGCCAACAAATGCAAGCCCGGGGCTTTCCATCCCTGACTTGACTGTGACTTACTATTTTCTAACAGGTCTTGAAGATTCTTCTGTGTTACTAAGTTAGTTTGCACCTCTCCTTTGCAATCACCATGTAGTACTTTGCAGATTAGAGGCGCTGTGATCTACAGCATGTATCTGGATATATGGGTGGTTTCTTATTTTTCACTCTTACACTGTAAGATATAAACAGCTCCCGAAGGCACATGTATGAGCATGCATGTCAGCAAGACAGAGTTCTAAGACTGGTACTATGGCACAAGTTAATGTACTTGTAAGGCGACTGGAATTTACCGTCTAACAAAGTTCATGAGATGTTCATTACTGTGCATTTTCATCAATACCACCTATTACCAGTCTTTCAAAAATGTCAATCTAATGGATGAAAACCTACAATTGATTCATTTTGCTTTTCTCTGTTATTGAAGTCAAATATATTTCCTCAAGTTTGCTGCTCAGTTCTACTGTATTTGTTCTGCGAATTCCTTGCCTGTATTCTTTGTCTATTTTTCCCTCAGGTTATTTTTGTTTTCACAGGTACTCATTACTCAAGTTGGATATTTACTCTTTGTTAAGTAGACTTTCTCTTTTTCAACTACTTTCCATTTTCATGAAGTAAAATACAGCCTTTTCTTTATAGCTTGTGCACTTTGAGTCTGGCTGCAGACTCAAAGAGTTGGATCCGGTTTTGTACTTTGCAGTAGGATGTGAGGTGCCGCTTAGATCCTCCCCTCCAGGGAAGGATTTGCTGGTAGAAGGCAATTGAGTCCGCATGCAGCCACCAGCCTGCTGCCAGTTCTTCCAGATCCTGCTCAGACTCTGTCTCCCTGGAGGCGGGGATAAAACCCTGGCCATTCTCAGCCTGATAGTGGACAACATATGCCCAGTGCTCCCTGCTGGCCAGGCTGCCAGAGCTCTTTAAGCTGGACTGTTCTCTGCTCTTAGATACCCCAGCCCATTCTGCCCTCCCACTCCTTCCCTGCACCTCAGGCTCCAACACAGCAGCTGCTTCTGGAGAAATGAAGCAGTCTTCTGGCAAGACTCTTCATGGTTCCTGGTTATGGTGGCATGGAGAGTGGGGCCCAAATTTTGTCCTACTACTCCACTAGTCTTGCTCTAATACCACACTGTTGTAAGCTCCTTCAGAATTTCTTTGGCTATCATCATAAATTTTTTCCCACACAAAGATTAGTATCAGCTTATTGAGTTCTATAAAGAATATGGTTGAGATTTAAATTAGGAATGCACATAATGTCCATTAGGGCTGCCCATGAATGGTGCTGGGAGACTGCTGCTTTCCATCCATAAATACTTTTCCCATTTAAAATTTCTAGTATGTCCCTTAGGAAGGTTTCAGCATATTTGCCAATCTACAGAGATATCATCATCTCTGGTTTCCATGTGCACCTCTTATTACTAGTGAGGTTGTATACTTTTTTTTTTTTTTCTTTTTTTTTATCGGTACCAGGGATCGAACTCATGACCCCCTGCTTGCAAGGCAGGTCCTTAGCCGCTGAGCTAAATCCCCAGCCCCATATACTTTTTGATATATTTACTGTTTAAATGTTCTTTTTGGTAAAGTGTCCATTCAGATAATTCAGTCATGTTTTGATGAGGTTGCTTGGCTTTTTTTTATTTTTGGACTATGTAAGGTTTTTTAAATTGTATGCAATCAAGTACCTAATCAGTTACATGTGTGTTATCACCCTCTTCTCCCACTCTGTGACTAGGTTAATGGTTTCTTTTGACAAACAGAAGTCCTTTAATCAGATTTATCAGTGTTTTTCATTGCATTTCATATTACTGCATCTTGTTGAAGATTCCCTCCACCAAGAATATGAAGAAATGCTCCTAAGACTTTTCCTAAGGTAGTTTCAATGGCTTTATGATCTTGTCTTTCACATATCAACTGGGAGTTGATTTTTTTGATATGGTATAAGGTAGGTATCCGATTTCATTTTGGTCTCATGTGGATACCCAATGTCATCAGCACCGTTTATTCAATAAAGATCATCATCTCTTCACTGCTCAGTATCTCTGTCAAAATCAGATTTCTACATATATTGAGTCTTTTTGAGTTTCTGAACTCCATTTTGATGGCCTCTGCCTACTCTAAACCAGTACTGCCTGTTTTCATCATACAGCTTCATAATAATTCCTCCTGAGAATCTGGGAAGGAAAGGCCTTCTCTGTTGGGAACTGGGCTGTGTAAGAGTTAAGCTGCTGACTATGGTGCTTTCTGGCTGCATTGGGAAAGCTCAGAGTCACAGTCTTTGAAGGCAGGATAACTGCCACAGCTGCAGAGCACTGAATCTCAATCAGAACTGAAAGGCAACAAACTGCCAGCCTTAGAGCTACAACAGTTTCCTCAATTAGCAAGATTCACTGCTTGGAATGACTTTGTTCTAAGTACTCAAGGCCCTGCTCAGTTCTGAGACTTTTACCTCAGCTATTCCATGCATTTCTCTACATTCCCCTAGTTTGATACCCAATATACTGGCAACACAGAGAAATCCCTGTGTTAGCTCCAAGGGAGTTCTGACCTTCTTGGACCTCCACCAACCATATTACATTGTCTCTTTTATTTTATTCTTCACCGTTCACTTGTCCGAGGGTTTGAGAGACTGAAGCTCACAGTACTTCTCTTCCACTACTAGTTTTGTTCTTCTGAAAGAACATCTTGGTTATTCTTGCTTTCTTCTTTATATTTATATCATGAACCTATCAAGTTCTATACCTGAACTACTCCCTGCACCCAAATTTGGGGTTTTGGTTGAGACTGTATTAATTCTTTTTTTTTTTCCCCAGTACGGGGATCGAACTCACAACCATGCACTTGCAGGAGCTTATGCTGCTGAGCTAAATCCCCAGCCCCAAGAGACTATATTAATTTTTTTTTTTTTTGGTCTTTTTATCGGTACTGGTGATTGAACTCACGACTGCTTGCTAACAAGGCAGGCTGAGCTAAATCCCCAGCCCCCAAGACTATATAATTCTTAATCAAACCCAATTTGTATCAGTTTGGAAAGAAATGACCTTTTTACAATACTTAGACTTCCAAATCCCAAAGTAAATGTGGTATTTCTGCAGTTACTTTTCTCATTTTATGTCTCTGAATACAAGTTTATACTTTTAGAATTATTACATATCTTTTGTAAGACTTGCTATTACTTGACTTTTATGATATTGTAAATGGAATTTTAAAGAAGGTTTATTTTCTAATTTTGATCTTTTGTGTATTGGTCATATAACTAAAGACACCCAATTGATTTAAAACAACTTTTGAATTTCTGTGTACATATCCTATCACATGTAAATAATGAATTTGTTTATTGCTTCCTAATTTTATCTCTTCTTTCTCTTACTTTACTGAAATAATTAGGAACTCCAGGACCATAGTGACCAGAAATGGCACTGGTAAGCATACATATCTTGCATGTTATCTCAAAGAAAAGCTGTTAACATTTTGTTAATAAGTAAACTATTTGTTGTAGATGTTTCCAGACACCTCTTTTTTTTATGTTTGGACTTTTAAAAATTTATTTTGAAAAGCAAAACAGAAGAAAGAATAAATATAAAATTTAAAAAAACAGTAAGAAACCAATACTAGTTAATATATTGCATATTGTTATCTTAGAAGTAGTTGTTCAGGTTACAAGATCTAGGTATAAAAAGTGATCAAACAATCAGTGACAGCACAAACTGTTCTTTTTGAGACACCTTATTATTAGACAAGAAGTTTTTCCTTTTTTAGGTTGCTAGTATTTTTAACTACAAATACATCTTTCAATTGATTTTCTGTATCTATTGAAAAGATATATGTTTCTTTAATAAGATATTTAAAGGAGTTATGACAACATATTTATCAAAAGTTGAGATAAATTTGTATTCTCAGAATTTTTTTTCTGGTACATTGATAAGATACAGTTTATTTATAGTTCATGTAGGATTTTTACATCCATTCTGTTGAATGAGGTTGGCCTTTAATTTCCCTTTTTTGTACTTTGTTTTTCACTGAGAATTAAGGTTATACTGGCATTAGAAAATAAGCCTGGAAAAAAATGAGTTTGGGAGGATTCTGTCTGTATCCAATTAAGATAACTTCCTCCTTGTGTATTTACAGTTTCCTGTTGAGACTCTGGTTATGAGCTTTTTTTCTGTGAAAAGAGTTTTGAACACTGATTTGATCTCTTTTCATGGTTTTAAGAATATTTAGGTTTTTTTTAAACCTCTGAGTCAGCTGTGCTGTTAAACTTTTTTCCTTAGAAATGTGTTTATCTAAATTTTAATTGGGAAAATATTCATAGCATCTTCCTAATACATATGTCTGTACGACTGGGAGTGATCCCTTTTAATTATTCATTGTTTCACATGTCTGTTCTTCTTGATAAGGTTAGTCAATTTTACTAGCCTTTTAGTACCAATATTTGGCTGTTTTGATGCTCTGTTAGCTATTTGCTATGCCATTCTTTTATACTTTTTGTTATTTACTTATTTTATTTGTTTCCTAGACTTTATTTTGCTATCTTCATATAAATGCTTGGGTAATTTTAGTAATTTTAATAGTTTTAGTAATTTTCTTCTTTTTAATACATACATTTAACAGTATTTTACAATAGTACTCTTTACAAAGTACATTTTATAATTTTTAATATGTAATGTTTGTTAGCCTTTAATTAAAAAATATTTTTTAAGTTCCACTATTTTTTGACCAAAGGGTATTTCAATATGTATTTCTTGTAACCTAATGGAAGTTTCTAACTATCACCTTAAAAACTAATTTCTAGTATAATTAAAAGTCAACATTCTTTATATTAGAGTTTTTAAAAATTGGTTAAGACATTTCCCAATATCAGTTTTTGAAAGTGTTCTATTACATTTTTAATAATCATTCAAAGATAGATACTGCACAGTTATTTGGTACAGTGTTTTATAGGTTTCCATTAGCTCAAGTATGTTACACATGTTCTTCAAATCTGTGTGCTTACTAATTTTGGCGGGTCTGTCTGCTCTATCAGTTAGAGAGATACTTGTATCTACGGCTCCAACTATGACTGGGGGTTTGTCCATTTCTCTCTTGAGTTCTGTCAGCTTTTGTTCTGTGTATTTAAGGCCATGTTATCAAAGGTATATCATACATATCATTCTGGTGAATTAACCCTTTTATCATTAGGAGATATTGCTGATTGTTTCAGGTAATACTTTTTTGCCTTTGGGACTACCTTGTCTCATTAATTGCTTCTTGGTTTACACTGAATGTCTTTTTTTTAATCCCTAGCCCTTTTTTATTTCTTGAGCTAGGGTCTCATTAAGTTACAAAGTTGGCCTGGCTGAGTTTGAACGCGTGAGATTGCTGCCTCACCCTCCCAGAGTACTGCACACAGGAATGCACCACCATGCCCAGCTAGACCTGTCTCTTCTATTAATGTGGGTAGCCCTCAAACACAAGTTTGGTAACCCTTTGACTCTTTCTTTTGAAATCTTGGTTGGCTTGCCTGGTTTATTTAAGTCCATTCTTCATGATTTGGCATCTAAGTTGCTAAAAGGTTGCGGCAGTAGCTTGATTCCTGCTGTGCATGTGTGCCTGTGTGCCTGCGGAGGCTCGGTTCCTCTCCCTGCTTCGCTGGCCCCCAGGCTTTGGTCTGCCACCCACTACTTCTGCCTGAGGCTCCTGCCTTCCCTCCCTCAGCGCAGGGAAGGGTCAGGAGGAACTGGCTTTTCTAGGCAGCACAAAGGTACTTCCCCCGTGACTCACTGTTTTCTGCCTGAACTTCCAGAACGTCTTCCTCAGAACTAGGTTTTGAGTTGGCGTTTTCCCTCCCTGGGTGTCTGCTTTAAATAATTCAAAATAATTGATATATTTATATACTTTCATTCTTTCCCAGTGCTATTTTTATTTCCATGTAGCTCTGTATATTTTCTCTTATTCATGAGTTTTAATGGAGAAGTAGGTCCAGTTTGCCAACATATTTAAACATAATTGCAAATTTTGTGTTTACCAATCTCATTTACCTCAAATCTCAGTCAACAAACTACATTACTTTGGTTTTCATGATTGATAATATATGTATTGATGTTAATATTTTGAATGTCTGCTATATTACCTACCTTTAAACTCTTCACATCTTTTTCTACAAATTCTTCAAACTGACTTTCATAAAAAGGCTTAAATTGCTCTTCAATACCTATATGAGAAAAATAGTCCTTTAAATTTTTAAAATATTTTCTAAAATTAACATATTAGCAATCTATTGTCTTCTAATTACTACTTACCTTAAACCTGTGGCTACAGAAATGAATTAAAAAATGAAATTCCAAATCACTGACTCTGATAAAAACTAAATACCAGTCGACAGGGAAGGGTTAGAAGGAAGCCCATCTGCCTAGCAGTGTGAGCTTTTTCCAGGAGTTACTCTCCAGGTGAACACGATGAATCAATCACATGTTTCCATCCCCATGATACACGTTCATGATGGCCTAGGACACTCAAGGTAAGGACTGGTTGCGAAATTACAAGTGTTAGCCTTAAAAGACAAAGGAAATCTCCAGTCCCACAAAGATGGAGTGAATATATATTTTCTTATTCCTCCTGCAAAGCAAAACAAGAAACCCTGAATCTATATAAAATGAAGATCTAGACACTCTAGGAGCAGAGAAGACAGGCCCACTGGAACTTCAGTCTGAGAAAACACACAAGAGTGAGGTCCCTAGACTTCCTCTTTGTTTCCTGTGTTCCAGAGTAGGAGCTGAACAGCTGGCAACCCAGAATCAGCCATAGACACAGAGAGAAATGTCTCTGTCAACAGCAGAAGATGGCTTGCTGGCCATGGAACTAGCAAGGGGCGGCCTATCAGCAGAGAAACCCCTTTGACAGCCTGGATTCCAGCCAGACACCACAGGAAACAACTGACTCCACCCTTCCCCACACAGGTGGACCGCCTTGCTTCCAGTCTCAGGAGACAGTGCATCCTGACATTGCCACCAGAGGAAGCCAGGACTTTCCCATCCTACCAGCTGATCATGAGCTTCTCCACTCCGGTGCTGTCAGGAGGGCCACAGGGGTAGCCCTGACATGTGTCCCAGGTGTAGTAAAAAAGATTCCCCTTCCCCCTATTGAGGAAGAATCAGAAGAAGAAAGGCTGATGGAAAGTTTGGACTTTCACCATTACTTAGTAGTAATAAGGCACCTCCATCTCAGTGGAGTGGAGATCATGTGAACTGTGCTAACTTCCATCCCTGTGATAAATTGTGTACAAGTAATATAGTATCTTGAATATCCATTTTAAAAACCATACAGAGAGATACTCTCAAAAACAATGGAGATGAATCAAAGTGGAATTCTAAAATATGTAAACCCACAGGAAAGCAGGAAGAATGCTATTGTTTGGGTCTGGAATCTACCCCAAAGACCTATGTGTTGGAGGCTTAGTTCCCTACTTGTGGGGTTAGGTATGAAACTCTGAGGTAAGGCCGGTGACAGGAAGGAAGGTCACTATGGGCATGCCTTCTCTTTTGTTTCTCCTGCGCATGCCAGCCATGAAATGGTTTTGCTAGGCCTGTGCTTCCCGCTGCAATGTACTGCCTTGCCACAGGCTCAAAAGCAGTGAGGCAAACCAACCGTGGACAGCGTAATGGTTGACAGATTGTGTCAACTTGAGAAGTTTAGAAGTTTAACTAAGTTGGCTCAGCAGTTCTACCCTAGGGCCTGGCTGTGTGGCTCATCACCTCTCTCAGCTACTGAAAGGAAACTAAACAGAAAATCAGGAGACACAGAGGAACACAGAAACAGTACCAACCAACAGGGTTTAGTCAAGATTTATAGAATGCTCTATTAAACATGAGCAGAAAACCCAAGTGTTCTCCTTAAGTGTCAATACAACAGGTACCCAGACAGACCACAAGCTGGGCTACACACACAAAGCCTGTGCAAACCTGAAAGAACTGAAACAGAGTGTGTTCTCTGTCCAGACTAAATCAAACCAAAAAACCCAGTGTAACAGGGAGATGAAAGGAAAAACCTTGAAAGTCTTGATGACTAAGCAGCACTTTCTAATACAGGGATCAACAAAAAGACTAAAGGGAAATTTTTAAAATGCATTAGTTAATGAAAATAAAAATACATATCAAAACTTGTGGGACCCAACTAAAGCAGGGCTGAGAGGGAAATTTATGTCAATAAATGTGCATATTTAAGAAAGGAAAAAGTCTCGAGTCAGTAATTTTGATTTTCCACTTCAAAAACCTAGGAAAATAAAGAGCAAAACACAGCAAACAGAAGGAAGGAAACAACAGAGATAAGGGCAGAAATCAACAATGGGAAAAACATCAGTGAAAAAGTGAAACAAAAACTAGTTAGTTGGAAAGATCAACAAAATTGCCAAATCCCTAGCAAAACTGAAAAAGAAAAGACATAAATTACCAATACCCAAAATGAAATAGTAGATGCCACTGTACAATACATTCTACCAACAAAAAATAAAAGTCATACTAAAAGCAACTTGGCACACATTAATGTAACTTAGATGGACTAGACCACTTGCTGAAAAAATACAAACTGCCACAACCACCCCAACAGGAGACAGATCATCTCGACTAGTCTTACAACTATTAGGAAAGTTACTTCATAACTTAAGCCACCCCTTCCCATCTCCAGGTCCAGTCAGTTTCATTGACCACAGTTTCCAGTAGTCTACACACTGATAGATGAGATCACATCATCCATAAGATAGTTACATCAAGTAGGATGTTACCTATAACTAAAAGCATAATTAATAATGAAAGGCTGGATGGTTTTGTCCTAAGATTAGGCACGAAAGAAGGATGTCTGCTCTCTGATCTATACAAGTTAGTGACAGAAGTTCTAGGCAGTACAATGCAAGAAAATGAAATAAAAGGTGCACAGTTAACTCAGTGACCTTTAGTACTACCCACAATGCTGCACGTGACAGGCTTTCACTCTTCTGATGCTGTGTAATACTCCATGTGCATACATATGGTACCACAGTCTCTTCATCCACCATCCACTGATGGGCGCCAAGGCTGACTCTGTATTTTAGCTCTTATGAACAGTGCTCATAAACACAGAAGATACTACCACTGGAGGAGGAGTAAACGATACTTGGGACTGCTTTATCTTGTTCCTGTGACTGCATGTGAATTTACAAGGATCCCAAAATAAGAACTTTAATTTTGAAAGTGAAATGGCACAGAACATGAGAGGAGAAGCCAGGAACAGATGAAGGTTGATGGAGCATGTGTGAAAAACAGACAGCTAAACGAAGGGCCCCTGTAATCTCTCGCTGTAACTGTTTGGTAGCAGGCAGAGTTTTACTTCCATTTTCTCATAGAAATGTGAGAGCACAACACCTTACGGATCTTTAGTGCCTTCCTGTTATATCTCATTCCCCACCTGATTTACTTCTTTCCTTCCTCTACTTCACAAGCTCCCATGTCATCATATAGGGGAACTGGAAGGGGTTCAAGCATGTCAAACATCCATGTCCCTGTATTTCTCTTCATAGTGGGACCAATCTAAGTCACAAAATACATTCCCAATGATGCCAGCTAAACAAGGGGAGAGAAAGAAACAAAAGAATTGAGGAAGCCTAAGTGCCTATCACCAGAGGAACAGATAAGCACAATGTGGTATATACATACATGGAATATTATCTAGCCGTAAAAAGGAAGGAAATTCTGACCTATGTAATAACACAGATTAACCTAGAAGACATTCGTTACATTAGTGAAATAAATCAGGCACAAAAGACAAAGACTGTGATTCCACTCGTATGAGGTATCAGCGTAGTCAAATTCATAGAGACGCAAAGTAGAACAGAGGTTGCCAGGGCTGAAGAGGAGCATGCAGGGTGTGTGCTTCATGGGTAGTGTTTCGGTCTGGAGAAAGTCCTGGTGATGGCTACACAGCAGAGGGGATGGACCTAATGCTATTGATGTTTATGCTTAAAAATAACTGTGATGTATGCACATTTCTAACAATACAACAGTTAAACCTAAAAAACTAAGGCCTTATATAGCTTTAAGAAGGATTTTTTAAATTAAAATGTTTGAAGTCTAGAAAGTCAGTTTGGAACCACAAGTTTTTTCTGAAGACCCAAACCACATTCCTGACATTATCTCATTTAGGACAACCACACAGTGAATGCTGCAAAATCAGAAAGAATGCCCTCACCAGGAAATGTTGGCCGCAGTTCTGGGTCTTCCTGCCAGCAGCATGTCATGAGGCTGATGATCTCCGTGGGGCAGTGCTCAATGATCTTGTCCACGTCTGGCCTATTGCCACGTTTTATGCATACCAAGAGGTGCTCTGCAGAGAGGGCATCTGTGAAGCAAAGAGAACCTGAGACCTCTGGCTTCTGCTCTTCTCAAGCAGAAGACAACAGAATGTGAATATATTGCTGACTGTCTCCGCTTAAGGTGAGCTTTCAGCAGAGCTGCCTCACCCCGTGGCAGAGTGGCCCTATGACAAGGAGCTGACACATTCCACTGCTGAGATGACCCAGCATTTCAATTTCTGCAGATGAAAGACAAAATCTGAAAGTTGCTTTCTTACAGAACAAATAGCTTCTCTGGGTAAAGTCAACTGCATTCCTCAAATCTTCCTACCCACACAGGCAGAGGATAGTCTTTACCTTTAAGTTTAATGTATTTTCAAATAAGGGGTCTGAGTAACATGATTGTGAGTAGTTTTGTTGAAAACAGAAAAATAAGTAGAAGGTAAAGAATGGGGAAGCAAGGCCCAAGGAGGACTCCAGTCCAAGGAAGCAGGAAACTAGTACATGGGCTAAGACAGGAATCATAGTGCATCCTAGAATTTGCTAGACCGGGATAACTGCGCATGCTGATAAAGTAGAGAGCGCAATGGATAAAGCTAGAGAGAAGCGAAGGTTTTATGTGCTGGTGGGGAAAGAAGTAGATAGATTTAAAGCTTTGAGGTCCCCTGGAGTGAGAGATGGAGGGCCAGGTTAAGTCTGAGAAGGCTCTAAGGTTGCTGGCTAAAAAGATGGAAAAGTCATTTTCTGAACATCCATAGAAGAGCAAAGGGCAAGAATTTACTGAGCACCAACTATGTTCAGGCGCCATGTGTAGATGCTGAGGAAGTGGTAGCGAATGGACTGGATGTAGCAGCAGCCCTCGGGGAACGTGCACTCTGGTGGGCAACACTGCCTCTGATGGAACAATACAGACCTTAACTGACTTCACAGAAGGTCGCTATCTCGGGTAAGAGTTCTGATTAATATGACTGTGCCACTCCTTTCCCGTGTCTTACACTCGTACGGCTCTTTATCTGCAATTATTGCCCAAAGCATGATGCCAAAGCTGTACACGTCCGACTTCTCCGTGGGCTTGACGTTGATGTCGCAGAGGTGCTCTGGGGCCATGTAGTGCAGGGTGCCACCGTTATTCCTGGTGGTGCCGCTGGCCTTCCTCTGCTCATTGTGTTCCTCCTGAGTCAATCTGCTCCATGTCTTAAAGGAAGCAACGCCCAGGTCGGCTATCTGCAGAAGGCAAACCATGGGATTACTGTGGGAGAGCTACGAACTAGGCAGAGTCGGCCTAATCTGGGGCTTTTCTGAGATGTGACCCAGGTATGGAATGTCTATACAGCTCTGAACAGACTCATAAAAACTTAAGTCTTTCTTCACTCCTCTGGAAAACTTCACCTAAGAAACGTTCGCATGAGGCTTTGGTCTCTATTCTTCTGCGACAAAAGGGAGAGAGGAAAGCAGAGGACATTTGTGCCATGGCACCAACAGCAAAATGTGTTTATGTTCTGATTCCTCATTTGTTCTGCATAAACTTGTTCTGTGTTTCAGCTGTTTCTGGGGCTGGAGGGCAAACGCTTTCTTCCCAGCACGTTTGTGTAGCAGGTAGAGGCTGGGTACCACACCTTCTGTTCCCCAGATGGCGTCCAGGATGTGCAAAGTCTCCAAGGATCCCAAAGGCACACTGATGAGAAAAGCTGTGGTGCTGTTTTTTTGAGTTGGTAACCTGAACCTGAGACAAGATGGGTATGAAGGAAGGGGGAAGAAACGGAAAAGCACAGACAAATACCAAGGTCAGATACAGAGCAAAGTGGGACATGGCCGAGCAAAATGACAGAAGAACACAGGTAAGAAAGAACCAAAGGACAGTTCCACTTCTCTTTCTAGAAACCAAGCAAGCATTTGGAAGTGCATGACAGCATGTGATTATCTGAGAACTCCAGGTTTTAACCTTCAATGATCTGAGAAAGGCTGTTAAGTTAAAGAAAGAAACTTCAGGCCGGGGATTTAGCTCAGCGGCGAAAGTGCCTGCCTTGCAAGCACACGGTCGTGAGTTCGATCCCCAGTACCAAAAAAAAAAGCAAGAAACTTCTTTAAAGATACTGGATAAAAACTTGTCCCTGGCTCAGGAGTGTTGGAAGCAGTCTCATAAGCGGGTTCTGAGTTCCGCTTTCCCTTTCCAGACCTTCTGGGTTTTGCTGTGGTGCTGGAGATAGAACCTAGTGCTCCCTGCATGCGAGACAAGTGCTCACCGTCTTACTTTCCCCTCTGCACTCAGGTTCCTGGGCTTAGATTCCAGTTACCAAAACCAATTAATGTGCTGCTTCCCCCCTCAGCTAAATCTTGCCTGGGAATGAACAAAAGAAAGATCCCTCTCCCTGTTCCCTTTAATACAATGGGATTTTTAAAAGAAACATGCATGCCTTTAAAAAAAAATGAAGCAGATGAAAATAAAAAAAACTTTAAATCAGCTGAATTTCAAAGCAGAGCTTTTGATGCCCAGGTGGCCAGTTCACTGCTGATGTGACTTGGGCCATGCGTGAGTTCTGAGACCGTCCACACACTCTCCACGTTCCCTGCATTTCCAGAGTCTCGGTCGTGGAGATTCCCTAGGGAAACAATGAGGCACCTATTCCAGGGCAAACAAAGCAACCTCTGAATGTTCCATCTCAGAGTCTAACAGGAGGAAAACAAGACTGGGGAGAGGACTGCTTGCCCAGCCCATTCAAATCTGCTCTTTGGCAGAAGGTATCATCTACATCCTCACAGCTGTCTCCCAACCCTGTCAAGCCTGACCTGTTCTCTGGTAGCCTCGTCTCGAGTTACACACGGAGCTAGGTCTCCCTTTAAAAAGCCACACCATCTACGTGAATGGATTTTCAGTGGAAAGCGTACAGTTAACCTTCCAGAAGCCTAGAGACTAATGTTTACCTTAATGTGAAAGTCACTATCAACCAGGATATTTTCAGGCTTCAGGTCCTTATGTATCACACCCTCTCCATGTAAGTAGCACATTCCTTCGATGGTCTCTACAATTATTCTTCCTTTCACAGAAAGTGGGATGGTCTGAAATGAAAATGTGTGTGCAAAGGAAAATAACCAGACAGTCAGCAATTCCATTAAAGAGTGGTGGGATCCAAATCTGACAGCAGATACCGCATTCCCCCAAGACACCCTGAAGCGTTGCTGTCACAGTGCAACAAGCCCCCACTTCAAGAAAGGTTCCATTCTGGATGTGGTGATTTGTCAGCATCAAAACAAAAATTCCATGCAGGTTTCGTGCACACAAAAATACTATAAAATTAAGCTTCTTACCAAGATGTATTATCTAAGATTGGATCCTTAGAATGAATGAGCAAGTATACAGATAACCATTTTCTAGGCATACTCATACAATGTGATGCTGTATTTACATTAACTACATGAATCGTGTCAGGAAAATGTGCATGTGAAATAATGTTTAAAAAGAACACAGGAAGTATGTTCACACTGATTACAACCATGTAAAAAGCCATGCCATATGCATGACTCTAAAACTATGCTAAAGTGAATTAGTATGTATTTGACCGGCTCAGGTCACTGTTACAGTACTATTCTAACGGTATCATCCATGTTAGTATAAATAATTTCAGTTTCTGTTTTAGTGATTATGTTTAGTTCTGCTTCACAATGAAAGACCAGTTATAAACAGGTTGTTTCCTAACGTGTCTATACATTGGTTGATGGTTAACAGAAAAAAAATCTCAATTATGGAATTAGATTCCCCAGTGTACCCCCAAGCCATTTTAACACATAATATAGCTGAATTATATCATCACTACCTGGGCCAGCACGTACAAACAGCAGAAGAGATCTGTTCCCGCCTTCCTTGGTATATTTCTACCCTGGGAAACAGTTCCGAGCAAGCAGAGTTGATTTCTCCCACTCCTCCTGCCCTTCCCGGGTCCTCCTGATTCCCTGAGCCCCAGCTATTGTACCTATCATTGCGAGGTCCCAAAAGCCTGACTTCCCCACTAAGACATCTTCCTCATGCTGCTGACCGTTTCTGGTTTGAGGGAGGAAAACAGCCCGGCTAATGACAGTACAACAGATCTAAGTGATCAGCTGCCCTCCTCCCTGGGCAGCCGTATTTGTGAGAGACATCTACCAACTTGGCAGCTAAGAAGTGGGAGGGGAGATGGAGAAGGGGAAGTGCTGTAAAAACAGCCACACCCCGCCCCTCCGCACAGTGCACCCTCTTGCCAAACCCAGTGATGCACACGTGTGAAATGGGCTGTTGTCTTCTGTACCCAGCATAATCTTGGTGGGGGGGGCACCTCTGATTTCCTCTTGTCCATCAGACTGTCCCAAGCTGTGGTGGGTGGCGGTCCTCTGTCCCTGCTGTGAAAGACTCTGGAATGTCTACTCAACACCATTACCCTACATTGTCCCTTCTCACCTGCCTCCTTTCCTTGCCAGCGTCATGCTGGCTGTGATTCCTGTGCAACTAGCACTAGGTCTTGGCAGGTGCATAAACTTTAAAGAATAGTTTAGCATTATTGGTCTTGGTAAGCTAATTTTATCTTTTTGTTTTAAATCTTATCCATAAGCTGTTACTGCAGCTTATGTTCTATATTTCACCTGTACTAAATGTTTCCTAAATGGTATCAAAGTGCAGTCATGAATATTCCATCTTTTTTTACACTGTGTAATAGTGCATATGCTTCTGTGAATCACTGTTACGCTCCTGACAGTGGACACGGTGTCATCAGTTCACCCGGCTTTGTCACTGGTCACATGGATACCCCACGTCAGACCACAAGCTTCTGAAGACTGGACCACTCTCTAGTGTAGAGGCAGAGAGAGGCTGGCAGGTATGGCAACAAGGCAACCATGACAACTAGATATAGGGGACCTTTTGAGCAAGGACAGACTGTTGAGGATGGAAGAAAGAAAGCCCCATGGCAGGGAGCAAGGAAGATCCAAGAGCCAGGAAGGGTGAGACAGGCCTGGAAGCCCAGCTGCCTGGGAGGCTGAGGCTGAAGGATCCCAAGTTTAAAGGCAGCCTGCGCAACTCAGCAAAATTCAGTCTCAGAATTTTTAAAACTAAGGGCTAGCAGGGTGGGGGTGCAGCGCAGGGGCAGAGGACCCCTAGGTCTGATTCTCACAGTGTGTGCTGGCACAGTCTGTGGGCTAACTTCAGGAATTCAACAAACCACAGAGCAGCTCACAAGAGATCATTTCTATCCGCGAAGAGCCCAACGGCATCTCTACCTGGGCCTGCAGCACGTGCAGGAGGTTGCCCTTCTCCATGTACTCCATCACCAGGCAGTAGTTCCCGTCCTCGATGACGGCGCCCAGCAGCTTCACCACGCGGCTATGGCTCAGCCTGCGCATCATCTTCCCCTCCTCCAGCAGGGACTCGTTGTACCTGTAGGCAGAAAGGTGCCATGCTGAGGAGACACAGCCAGCCTCCTCCCTGGAGCCAGAGCCTACACAGCACAGCCGCACGCTTTGTCACACTGGGCCTCATCTGCTGTCCCTGGGCACAGACCACAGTGTCACCGAGCAGAGGGCTGCTTCACCTTTATGCCCCGCCCCCCATCCTGGCAGCAGGCACTGGAGACTGCAAATCAGCAAATGCACAGCGCACGGGCAGCGGCGGCGTGGCCTGAGTAGAACACTGTGCCAGGTGGTATCCAACAAGAGGGACAAGGGAACGTGGGCCGGCTCAGGTCAGCTCCACGGAGACAGACATTCCACTGCCTATGTTACAGACTGGGTTCCTTAAAGACTGACCCAATTGGCCTTGCTTTTTTTCATTTTTAGCCCCAGTCTATTTTTTTTTTTTTTTTTTTTTTGTACCGGGGATTGAACTCAGAACCTTGCGCTTGCCAGGCAGGCACTTACGGCGCTGAGCTAACTTGGCCCAAAATGCAAAGCGTATAAGCCCATTTTCACTGATTCCTCCCATTTCTTGTACCCTGCCTCCTGCATCAACTCTCTTTCCCTGTTCACATTTCTGTCCTGTGATTTACTAGCTATTCCCTAGTTGGCCTCAGTACCCTCATCTCAGATGATGGCGATAATCAGAGTGACGGCTACTCAGCATAGGGTCATATACTGGCTTCCCCAGGGGCCCCTTGTCCGGAAGCCCTGGCAGCTCCAAGCCCTGAACCCTCCAAGGAACCCTTTCTGAAGCCAGCGGACAGTGTGGCCCCCGCCTGCGCTCACGACTCACTCCATGCGCTTGGGCCCTGTGTACACCTTTTTCAGGATCACAAGTCCGTGCATCCTGTGGAAACACAAGGACACTGCCCCGAAGCCTCCGCTGTCCAGATTCCTTTTGTACAGGAGGTCGGCAGAATTCATCTTAATGTCATCCAGAGACATGTTTGCTTGCTCGCTGAGTGCTCAGGATGCCCTGGAACACTCCACTTTCTTTTTGTTTGTAGTTTTTCAGTGTTGTACCCTGTAAGAAAATGGAGGACATCTTACAGTAAAGGAATCCAAAAATGACATAATTACTAAGATGAGCTATTTTCTAAGAATCACAGAAGACCATAATTTTTTATCCCCACAGACTTCATTTCTGACAATATAGTGCATGTGAAAAATTTAAAAACCATCCTGCTACAGAATACTTGTATATGTTGGAGGACATAATTCAAACATCTCAAATGCATAGCTAACCCAGTAGAAAGAAAAAGAGAAAGAGAGAAACAAAGAAAGAAAAAGAGAACTGTGGAGTTCTAAGCAAGCAGGCGGGTGCCCACTTTCCCTGGATCCCAGCCTGGTTGGGACCGTCACACTTTCTGGGTATAGTGGAACAGCTAGGTGGGGCTAGGGCACCTGCATCTGCCTCCCCGTGTGCTTCGGGGACTGTGGAGTTCTAAGCAAGCAGGAGAGTACCACCAGTTCCAGAGGCCAAGCGGCCTGGGGGAACTGGGTGCCAGAGTCCCAGGAGCTGTGGGCATAGAAGTGGATTTCCAACAGATCCTGAGGAAGTTTTTGACTAACACTTGAAACATAAATATAGGAAAATGACAAAACAAAAAGACCAAATTACAATCTCAAACCTCCAGCCCACCCCAAGAAACCTCAGAAGCCATGTACATAGAAGAAAATATATGCCATACACCTCAAATATCGGACTTAAAAGAAACTGAAATAAAGAAGCAACTCTGGGAAACTTTTTTTTTTTCTTTTTCCTTTTTACTGGTACCAGGGATCGAACTCACGACTGCCTGCTTGCAAAGCAGGCGCTTATGCTGCTGAGCTAAATCCCCAGCCCCCTATTCTGGGAAGCTTTAAAGGAATTCAAACTAGAAATAATCTCTCAGGTAAAAGAAGAAATGATAAAAGAAATGAAAGAGATGCTGAACGTATCTAAAGAAAACAGTTAAAAAATTGGAGGAACTAAACAGAAAGATAGAATCCCTAGATAAGCAATATAAGAAACAAACAGAATACATAAAGCAGATGCACAGAGATATATAGGAAATCAAAAATTTCACTGAAAGCTGCAAAAGCTGCCTCAATGCAAGTGAAGATAGAATTTCAGACCTCGAAGACAAGATTACAGTTAGTGAATGGGAAAGGAAAGTTCTTTTAAAAATAACAAAGAATCAGGAAATAATTCAACAACTGCAAGATGACGCAAAGAAAAACAACATAAGATTGATAGAAATTAATAAAAAAGAAGGGGATGACATAAAGGACGTCAAGAGGATATTTAGAGAAGTATTAGCTGAAAATTTTCCAAGCATGAGATTGGAAACCGGTATCAGGTTCAGTGAAGCATATAGGACTCCAAATAGTCATAACCAAAATAAAACTACACCCAGACATATAATAATCATCATCCCAAAAATCTAACACAAGAATAGATTATTAAAAGCTGTCAGAGAGAAAAGACATCATTTATAAAGGAAAACCTATCAGAATCACAGCAGACTTTTCAGCACAAACAATAAAGTCAAGAAGAGCATGGAGTGAAGTATTCCAAATCCTAAAGGAAAATGATTTCCAACCTAGGCTGATGTACCCTGCAAAACTATCATTCAAAATCGATGGTGAAATAAGATACTTCCATGACAAAGAACAGCTGAAGAACTTCATGATTACCAAGCCAACCTTGCAAAAAAATATTCAAAGACAGTTTAGATACACAAAGAAAAAAACACTAAGCAGAGGAGATAATTAAACAGAACAGAAAGATAAAAATGCAATAGCAGAAAGATAACATGTCAACAATAAACCAACATATAACAGTTATAACCATTAATGTAAATGGCCGATATGCACCAATTAAAAGAAACAGACTTGCAGAATGGATCAAGAAACGAAATCCAACCATGTTTGCAGGAAACCCATCTAACCCAGAAGGATACTCACAGACTGAAAGTCAAAGGATGGAAAACAATACTTCATGCAATAGGAATCAAAAAAAAAAAGCAGGAGTAGCCATTCTGTTTGCAGACAATGTGAACTTTAAACCAATAATGATCAGAAGAGACAAAGAAGGTCACTACATACTCGTTAGGGGAAAACTCCAACAGGAAGAGGTAACTATCTTAAATATATATGCACCAAACTCCGGAGCACTCAGTTATATAAAACACGTATTACAGAAATGAAAAATCAAATTATCAGTAACACAATTGTAACAGGAGACCTTAACACACCATTGACACCAAGGGACAGATCAACCAGACAGAAAATCAGTAAAGAAATAACAGAACTGAATCATACCTGTGAACAAATGGACTTGATAGACATATACAGAGTGTTCCATTCAACAACATCAGAATAAACATTGTTCTCAGCAGTACATGGGTCATTCTCTAAAATAGACCATATATTAGCTCACAGAACATACTTAAATAAATGCAAGAGTTGAAATTATCCCTTGCGTGTTATCGGATCATAGTGCTTTGAAATTAGAAATTTAATGACAAAAGATATTGCAAAAATCCCACAAACACATGGAAACTGAATAACACTCTGTTGAGTGATCAGTGGGTCACAGAGGAAATTAAAGAAGATATTAAACAATACCTGCAAAGAAATGAATACACAAATACAAATTACCAGAATCCGTGGGATGCAATGAAAGCTGTCCTCAGAGGAAAATTTATTGCACTGAGTTCCCACATCAGGAAAACAGAACAAATACAAATCAGTAACCTGATGTTACACCTCAAACATCTAGAAAAAGAAGAGCAAGTCAAGCCCAAAGCCAAAAGAAGGGAGGAAAATATGAATCTAAGAGTTGGTTCTTCGAAAGAATAAATAAAATTGATAAGCCCCTAGCCAACCTTATTTTAAAAAGGGAAGAAAAAGCTCAAATTCATGCAATAAGAAATGAACAAGGTGAAATCACTACAGACTCTATAGAAATACAGAAGATCATCAACACCTATTTCAAAAACCTCTACTCTCAAAGGTTTGATAACACAGAAGAAATAGACAGATTCCTAGAAACATATGAAGTACCAAAGCTAGGTCAAGAGGATGTAAAACTGCTGAATAACACAATCTCTATCAATGAAATTGAAAATGTAATTAAGTCTCTATGTACAAAGAAGAGCCCAGGCCCAGACGGATTCACTACAGAATTCTATAAGAAATACAAAGAAGACCTAATGCTGACACTCCTCAAACTCTTCAATGTAATTGAAAGGGAAGCAATCCTTCCTAAGTCATTCCTGGAAGCAAATATTACTCTAGTACCAAAACCTGAGAAAGGCCTAACTAAAAAAGAGAACTATAGACTGATCTCCCTAATGAACACAGATGCAAAAATCCTTAAATATTGGCAAATAGGATGCAGCAAATCATCAAGAAGATTATACACCATGACCAAGTGGGATTCATCCCAGGCATGCAGGGATGGTTCAACATACGTAAATCAATAAATGTAATCCACCATATCAGTAAAGCCAAAAGTAAGAATCACATGATCATTTCTATAAGCTTTCGATAAGGTCCAACATTCATTCATGATAAGAACTTTACAGAAAATTAGAATAGATGGTCTTTACCTCAATATAATAAAGACCATCTACGACAAACCAACAGCCAGTATCATACTAAATGGCCAAAAATTGAAGGCCTTTACTTTAAAATCAGGCACAAGACAAGGATGTCCTTTATCACCACTCCTATTTAATATAGTACTGGAAGTACTAGCCAGAGCAATTAGACAAGAGAGAGAAATAAAAGGGGTAAAGATAGGAAAAGAAGAAGTTAAATTATCATTGTTTGCAGATGACATGATATTCTACATAGAAGACCCCCTAAACTCCATTGAAAGACTCTTAGATATAATAAATAAATTCAATAATGTAGCTGGATACAAAATCAATACTCAAAAATCAATAGCATTCCTATACACTAACAACAAAATCACAGCAAGAGAAATGAGAAGCCACACCCTTTACACTAGCAACCATAAAAATGAAATATTTAGGAATTACTCTTATGAAAGAAGTGAAAGACCTATACAGGGAAAATTATAATACACTGAAAGAAGAAATTGAAGATGATCTCAGAAAATGGAAAGACATCCCATGCTCATGGATAGGAAGAATAATATTGTGAAAATGGCCATTCTCCCAAAACTCTTATACAGATTCAATGCAATCCCAATAAAAATACCATCAACATATCTCACATATCTAGAGAAATCACTCCTAAAATTCATCTGGAGTGAGAAGAGACCTAGAATAGCAAAGGCAATTCTAAGCAACAAAGGCAAGGCAGGAGGCATCACAAGCCCTGACTTGAAGTTATACTACAAAGCAACTGTAGTAAAATCAACATGGTACTGGAATCAAAACAGAGCCAAAGATCAATGGAATAGATTAGAAGACACAACCACAACTACAAACACACTCAACCACCTTAACTTTGATAAAGGAGCCAAGCAGGTTCACTGGAAGAATGACAGTCTCTTTAATAAATGGTGTTGGAAAAACTGGCTCTCCATTTGCCGAAAACTAAAACTAGACCCAAGCCTATCACCATGTACTAAATTAAAATCTAAATGGATCAAAGATCTGAATATTAAAACAGAAACAGTAAATCTATTGGAAGACAAATTGGGTAGAGAATTCATGAACAGGACTCAAACTGCACGGGAAATACTTCCCAGAATCAATAACTGGGACCACCTCTTATTAAAAAGTTTCTGCAAGTCAAAAGAAATACCCAGCATAATGAAAAGAAAACCCACAAACTGGGAAAAAATCTTACTGAACTCTCCCTGAGACAAGGGACTTCTGTCTAAAACATATATAGAATTAAAAAAAAAAATCAGACCCCCAAAATTAAAAGATCCAATCCAAAAATGGGCATCTGAGATGAATACACACTTCTCAGATGAAGAAATACAAATGGCAAATAAATACATGATAAAATGTTCATCATCATTCATCATTAGAAAAATGCAAATTAAAACCACACTGA